TAGATTCCATCATGTGGATAGTGCCATTACTATATTTTCACACATCTTTTACCCATATAAATGCACACATAAATAATTTTACATACATGCAACGGGACCAGAGCAATTGTCCAGTTATCATTCTTAACATGTTTATTTTCATTTTTGTTTACTCTCTCTGCTTCCACAATCCAGGCGACCATTTTCTCCCCTCCAAATACAGCCTAATGTGAATATTTTATTCATTTTCTACATGTACACACAGATGAACGTATACAACTATGTACTCACAAAGGAAGCTACACAATGTGCTTTTTTTAATGTTCGTTTTATTAAAATGGATTAATACTATGTATGATTTTCTGATTATTGTTTTCGTTTGTTAATATATTGAGGTAAGACTAAATAATATTTAATAATATAGACGTTCTCTAATTCATTCATGCATTCCTCTATTAGTGGGCTTAATTTAGACTTTTCTCCCACTACAAAACATTGCTGCAGTCAACATTCTTATACATCTACCTGTATATTTCAGCTTTTATTTCATTAGGAAGGATGTCTAGGATTGAGATAGCTAAGTCAAAGATACATTTATTTTTAATTAATTGATATTGCCACATTACTCTCAAGATAAGTGGTAAAAACTTACATTTCTACCGAAAATATGTAAGAAAATTCTTTCCCATGCATTCTTACCTCTCGTAGGTATAATCACTCTTTTATGCTTTTGCCGATCTATAGCGGGTGTGTGTGTGTGTGAGAAATCCCATTTCATTGCTACTTTATTTTTTTATTTATTTATTTTTGCTGAGGAAGATTCTCCCTGAGTTAACATCTGCGCCAATCTTCATCTACTTTGTATGTGGATTGCTGCTACAGCATGGCTGACGAGTGCGGTAGGTCTGCGCCTGGGATCCGAACCTGTGAACCTGGGCTGCCAAAATGGAGCACACTGAACTTAACCATGGGGCCGGCCCCTCATTGTTACTTTAATTTGCATTTCCCTGACTTTTTAGTGAAATTAAGTAGCTGTTTTCTCATTTACTGAGTTATGTTTAATTATTATTTTCATTATACAGCAGACTGGTTTCATCTTTGCTCCTTACCAAGACGAAAGAGCTGTGTAACATTTTGTCATAATTTCTTCAGATACTTTTCCTCCTCCCTTTGTTTTCAATCAACACCTGTCTCTCTCCTTTCCTCTTTTCTCTCTTTCTTAATCTGTTTTAAGGAATTCAACATGACAAGCCACTCCTGCATCTCCTTCCCTCTCTATCCAGAGTTGTACGTATCAGTCCATGAGCGTCTTTTCTATGAACTTTTACTACATGTCTATTCCTGCACAAACAAAATGTGTGATTGCCTTGAGTTACAAAAAATGCATAGCATTTTAATTCCATATGATATTTTTAGAATCTTTGCATGCCACCACAAGGTCGTTTTCATTGCTGCAAGATGTTCCTTTGTGTGACTACATCAGTTTGTTCGTTTCTCTAGTGAAGAATGGTTGGACAGTTCCCCACTTCTCACTAGTGTGAACAGCACAACATATGTCCCCTTACATGTCATCTTGTGCACACGTAGGAGGTCTCCAAGGATAGACACCAGGAGTCGGCTTTGCTGAGTCAGAGGGTTTGTACAGCTTAGATGTTCCCGGATGTTGCCTAACATTTTCCGCAGCAATTGTCCTGTTTCCCACCAGCAAGGGAAGAGTGTCTGTTTCCCCATATCCTCAACAACAATTGTGTTATCAGGTTTAGCAAACAGAGTGACCGAGTTATCTTGTTCTAATTTTCCATCTCCCTTAATGACCAGTGTCACAGTTGACGGTAGCAGATCCATCTTAAACAGAGTCAGAGCTGCCTTTCCAGAGACAGTTCCTCGCCGTCTTGAATCTTGGACGGGGCCCGCACGGCCACTGGGTGACAGGCCATTGTTTGGGAAATTGGCGGGAGAAGAGCCATCCTGATCATGAAGACTGAGCATGGTGGGCTTTCTGAAGATGGAATCAATAGTCAATCAACGTTCAGCCAAGACTAGCTCTCTGCCTCCAGGTCCAATTAACATTGTTTGTAATACAACCTCCCTCCCTTAAAAGCCCCGGACTTTTGCTCCCTAGTGGGACGCTATGTGGGTTTCTCACCTGCATTTGTGCTCCCCGAATTGCAATTCTTTGATCCCAAATAAATGCCTTGCCTCTTAAACTGATTTCTGCTTTTGCAGGCAGACACTAGGCGGGTGGGCCTCTCCTAAGAGATCTAATGCCATTTGAGTTTCTATGAGTTGACAGTTCAAACCCTTTGGCTATTGATTTATTGAATGGTACTTTTCTTATTGATTTTATGAAGCCTTCATATATTCTGAATACTCTCTCTGAATACCACTTTGTTGGGTATATAAATGGCAAATATTTACTACCTGTTTATTGGTTGTCTTTTCCATTTCTTTAAGCTGAATATTTTTTAGTGAGTTCCAACATATCCGTATCTTACTTCATGGTTTGTGGTCTTTGTGCCTGGTTGGAGAACTCCTTCCCTGACTTGATTTCATGAATATATTTACCTAGACTTTTTTTCCTAAATGTTTTATAGATACTGCTTTTTAACATTCAGTTGTTTTCATCCGTGTGGAATCTATTTTGTGTTTATTGCATAAGATAAGGATGTAAGTACCTGTTTTCTTATGTGTTTTTCCCCCCACCACCATTTATGGGAAGTCTATCTGGTCCCGTGATTTGCAATGTTGCCTTTTCCAGATAACAATTTCCTTTCCGAATGTGTGTGTATTTCTGGGTTCTTTGTTGTGTTCTGTTGATCTAGTTTCCTATCTCCATGCCAACCCCACACTTTTAATTATAAAGCCTCCGAATGCCTAGTAGGTTGAATGCTCCATCTTTCTCTACCTTTTCTTCTTCTTCTTTTTTTATATCTTATACAACAAAATTTATTAGATATTATTTTTCTTTTTTTTCTTCCCTATGAAACTCAGGATCACTTTGTCAAATTCCACAAAAAACTCTCCCCTGGTTATTTTTACATCAACTTAATTTAGACATAATTTACACACAATACAATTTAAAGTGCCCATCTGAAGTGAACAGTTCGATGAGTTTCGTTATTTGAATACATCTTCGTGCCCACCACACAGTCAAAATCTAGAAGCTTCTCGTCACCACTGAAAGTTCCCTTCAGCCTCTCCCTGCTTACTCCCCACCCACCTCTCCAGCCCCAGAGCCACTGGTTTGCTTCCTGTCACTATTGATTGGCTATGTCTTTTCCAGAGTTTCATAGAAATGGAATCACACAGTACGATTGTGCCTGGTTTCTTTTGCTCTGCACGATGTTTCTGAGATCTGTCTATGTGGTTTCTTGTATCAGTACTTTGTTCTGTTTCTTTGCTGAATAATACTCCATTGTACGGATATATCACAAGTTGTTTATCCATTCCCCTGCTGATGGACATCTAGGTTATTTCTGGTTCTTGGCTATTACATATAAAGCTTCAGTTAATACTCCTATTCAAGTCTTTGTGTGGAAATATCTTTTCATTTCTCCTGGGTGTGGAAAGGCTAGGTCATAAGGTGAGTGTATGCTTAACTTGACAAGAAACTGCCCAACTGTTACGCAAAGCAGCTGTACCATTTGACGTGTGGGGTTCTAGTTGCTCCATATGCTGGACAACACTTGCTATTGTCAGCTTTTAAACTTTAACCATTCTAATGGCTAGTGGAGTTAGAATGGTGTCTCATTACAGTTTTAGCTTGCACTTCCCTGATGACTAATGATGCTAACCATTTTCCCATGTGCTTATTTGCCACTGCGTATCTTCTTTGGCGAAGCGTTTGTTCACATTTTCTGTCTGTCTTGTGCTGAGCTGTTTATTAAGTTGTAAGAGTTCTTTATGTATTTTGGATACAAGTCCTTTGTCAGATACATGATTTGCAAATGTTTTCTCCCAGTCAGTGGCTTATCTTTCCATCCTCTTTTTTTTTGGAGGAAGATTAGCCTTGAGCTAACATCTGCCACCAATCCTCCTCTTTTTGCTGAGGAAGACTGGCCTTGAGCTAACATCCATGCCCATCTTCCTCCACTTTATATGTGGGACGCCTGCCACAGCGTGGCTTGCCAAGCTGTGCCATGTCCACACCTGGGATCCAAACCAGCAAACCCCGGGCTGCTGAAGCGGAACATGTGCACTTAACCACTGCGCCACCGGGCCGGCCCCTCCATCCTCTTAACAGTGTCTTTTGAAAAAGAAAGGTTTGAATTTTTAAAATCCAATTTATCATTTTATTCTTTTATAGATTATGCTTTTGGTGTGGCGTCTAAGAAATCTATGCTTAACTCAAGGTCATAATTTTTCTCCTGCGTACACTTTAAATATGTGCAGTTTATTTTATGTCAATAATAGCTCAATAAAGCTGTCAAAAAAATAGCAGTCCTAGGTGTTTGATGGAAAAGAGCTTTCAAATGATTTTACTCTGCCATTTTGCTAGATTCTAAATGGTCTTCTTCCAACAGAGAAAGATTAGAATTTGTAAGCATTTACCAGAGGTTTGAGCATACTAAAATGCTAACTTAATTTTGAGAGAAGTTAAAAAAGAAAATAATAACCGCGTTTGAAGAGGACAACGTATACAGGGTTTTGGAATGAGACCTGAGATCAAATCCTGCTTCTGCCATTTCCTTCCTGTGTGTTCTTAGAAAAGTCACTTAACTTCTCTGACTCGCAGTTTCTTAATCTATAAATCAGGAATAATAAACACATAGCATAGGTTTGAAATGATTAACAAAAATAGCATTCGCAAACAGCCTTCCAGAGAGCCTTGCCTAACACACCAGCTCAAGAATTACTAGTTTCCTTTTTCATCTTACGTACTAGACCCCCCGACAGGGTCATTTGTCACACTTTCCTGGCTGTGACACAAAACAGTCCTTGGGAAGGAGGCACGCGAGATACAGCCCACACCCCAAGGGCTGGTTCCATGAATTGTTCAATGACAGCGTCTGCCCGGCTAGTCATCGTTCAGAGCAAAGTCAGCTTTATTGTCATGAAATTTTAAAAGGCAGTTACATTAGTTACACATGTACACAACCGACTTAATCACCGTTAGTCATCAACGACATTCAAACACAAATGGTGATTTACCCACAGCACAGTGCACATCCATGAGGAGAAAAGTTAGGAGAGAAAGGATGAAGCACTCCAACGGTCCCCGGAAGCCGCTCTGTGAAATCTCTCGTTTCTGAAGGAGAACGAGATGGTGGCAGGAAGCAAGCCGCCCTGGCCCAACATAGCCCACAAGACCTTCGTCTGCACGTCCATGGCCAGTGCCCCGCAGGCTGTGGCCAGTGCTCGACCACGAAACCAGCTTTGGCCTGAGACCCAGGTGCACCCACCTATGAGAACTAGCCTGCTCCCTGGCGGGGGCCCCTTCATGTTTCCCAGACCCCAGGCCATTGGGAAAGTGCGGACACGAGGTGGCCCCTGAGCACACAAGACGAGGATCTGGTGGGGAAGGCAGGGGGGTGGACCCTAGCAAGTCAGGCCACAGTGACCTAACAACTGGCCCATATTTTCTGGTAAAACAAACAACATGTCTATGCTGACTTGTTACTGGCTAGCGCTGTCAGGTCATCTGCTTGGTTCCGCTTGTGTGATGGGTCATATCTGTCAAGGAGCAGGTGGGTGAGTGCTCACGGCCCAGCAGAGCTCATCTGCAGCCCTGGGTGCCAACGTGGGGGAACGGGACCATCAGTCACTTCCCCGGGCCTGCCTCATCTCCGCGCTAAGACCAGAAGGAACGCTGACACTGTCAAGTGTGGCCCGTCTGGGGAACACACGGCCCCTTGATCAGCATGGAAGGTTTAAGCTCCCCGACGGAAGTGCCATCAACTATTAGAATCCTCCCATTATTTGCAACAGGTATCCACGACACAGCAAAAGGGTTGAATTTGATGTGTTGGAAAGCGGAGAAGAATGTGGCTGTTTGGATGGCTCTGTCACTCCCCACCCAAAGCTAAACGCAAGACTAGTGGGAAGCACCATATAGGGTGAATGTTCTAGAACCTTCTTCGCCACTATCATGGTCACTAACCAAGTCCTAGCTGAGCCTCAACGTGGCTGTGTTTCTGTCCTCGCCAGTGGCTCAGGCAGCCACAGCGTGGGAAGCCCTCTGCTTGCTCAGTTTGAGGAGAGCCAGCTAAACTCTAGCGGATGCGATGAGGCGGGATGAGTATGTGAGCCCAGAGCCAAACCCACTCCTACGGGCCTCTCCCCTTCCCAATCCAGCTCCCACTCCACCTCTAGTAGGAGAGGAGTCCAGGCTGGGGCACGGGCTGAAGGACAGGCTGCAACAGGGCCCAGGGCTCTCCGGCCTGCTGGCTGGGCGGGACTGGCATGGGGGGGTCCTCTTCCAACCTGGGATAAATAGATCCTCTAGGGCTTTCATTCTTACTCCAGGTGGTCTCAAAATTCTTTGGGAAGAGAATCCCTTCGGTGTGGGATCCTCCCAGCCTGTTTTCTTATTGGCCACGTGACGGGTTCTGAGAGGGGGACAGAAAAGAGGGAACGCTAGTGAGCCCGTCAGATTCGAATCAGAGTCCCTGCTGGTGCTCCTGGGCCAACGCTGGAAGGGACGAGGCCCGGCCTGTCTAGTGATGATGCGCCCCAGGAGGTGATGTGCGCTTCCAGCCCCCCAAAAATCCTCGTCTTCCAGGGCTAAGAACTGAGCTGTCCTCACCCCAACCTTTGTTTACGTGAGGGAAGTAACTGAAAGGTCGTTGGGAGCAAGGCTCTTCTGTTCCTCTGCGCGTCCTCCTGGCCCAGCACAGACCCGATATGTGGGAGGCCCACAGCCAGCATGTCTACCTAGCGCACGTACCTAAGAAAATCACCAAGTTCTTTCCAAAAAACAAAAGGAGAAAACGAACATAAAACCCCCAGAACTTCCACACTCACAGGCTAAAGGCCACGGAAAGCCTGTTTTCACTTACCCGAGAAACCATTCTTTGATCCGAAAGCTGTTTTTGCCCTATTCTTGGAAATAATTATGTCCACTGCCTGGGGCAAGCTCGAGGCTGCAGAGGCAGAGGTGGCCCCAGGGGCAGGGCCGGCCGGGGAGCCCCTTCTGGGTCTGAACTGTGGGCTGTGGGGGTCTCCACCACCAGCCTTTTCCCTGGAAGCACAAAGGCTCCTGAGGGAAAAAGGATGGCACGTGTATGTAAACCCAAGACCCAACCTCCACTGTCCACAAAAGGATTGAAGTCGCCCTGCAAACGGACACCAGGGTTAGTTTACAGTCTAGGAACGGCATCGGTATGCTGCCCAACAACGCTGGATTTTTACAGGGGGAGCATCCTGCACACGACTGGGCACAAGGAGTCAGACAGACAGGGCTGGCGTTGGTGCAGAGCTTCTAGAGGGTCAGAGCAACGTGCCCTGGCTACGTCCTACCTGTGCGGCTCGCTCTGCACTGGGCAGTCCGGGACCAGCTCCACTGCCCAGGCCCAAGGGGAGGGATCCATGGGGGCTCTGAGACAGGGGCTGAGGATGCCTGCCAGAAGGGGCTCTGGGAGGAACACAGGGCCTTCCTGGGGGTGGGCTCCTCCTGCCCCGAGGAGCCCCGCGTAGCTCATCTCCCCATGGGAGTCACGAGCTGGTGGGACTGTCAGGAAAAGAGGGAACAGAGAGGCTGAGTGAGCCCTGCTTAGTGGGCGAGTGGAGGGGCAAAGCTAAGGAACGACAGGGGACGGATTCTTGAACTAATCTCCTCAAATCGGAGGGAAACACCTCGAGCCAGGGGCCACGGACTCACAGGTCAGCTGGGCGGAAGTTTCTAGAAGTCAGCTCTTACTCCTGTCTTGAGACTGCCTGAGGAATTCAAGGCCCTGGTGAGTGCGTGACAGAATCAGAACCAGAACCAGACCTGGAACCATGTCTTCTGCCCACACGCCTGCACTCTGCCCCTCCTGGGTCGCCCTTGCTCCTGGTCAGCTGAAGAAGGCAGGCCCGACTGGCCTTAGGGACAGGTTTCACGTCCCGGCTCTGCGGTGGATTCACGCCCACACCATCCCCTGGGCCACTAAGCAGGTGCACCCCCCCCAGGCTGGTCCTAGGGAGCGAGTCTGCAGGGCACAGAAGTCAGGAGGCTGGGCGTCCTGCCCACCCCCCTCTACAGAAGGGCTCTGTGACCTCAGGGTGGCCTCCCTCAGGCACTGGGTGGGGACGATGGAGCAAGGATGGGCAACAACCAGGAAGAGCTGTTCCTCAGACCCAGTGAGAGAGGGGCGAGTGGTCTCCTGGGGTCTCCCGTAGGAGGGGGGCTGGTTTCTCTCAGAGGAGGACACCTCAATCCACACCGAGGGGCCTGGATCACAGAACTGACCCATTAAAGTGAGCAGGTTCCCAGCCATGACTCTTGGGGACACTGGGGTGTGCCCACTGCTCCCTCCGACCTGTCAGCAGGGCGTCCAGACGGGGGCCAAGCTCCCCCCAGGCAGGGAGCTGCGAGCTTAGGGCGGGGGCTGCACATCTGGGGCCTCGTTCCTTAGCACCCCAGATCCTAGACACTCACTCAGGCTGCACATGACAGACGTGGGCATGACACCTCCATCAGGACGGGGATGCAGTCACACGGCACAGAGCACACACAGGCCACGGCATTGGGGGCGCACAGCCGGACCTGGCCAAGCTGGAGGCTGGGGGCAGCGTCCACCTCCGCATCCCCATGCTCCTGGTCCCCAGCTCAGGGGACAGGGGCTGTGCACCTTGCCGCCTCTCCTGACCCCCTGACCCCGCCCATCTGCAGACGGTAGAGGCAGAAGGGACTCACTCCAGCCTCCTGGGTGGCCTGGTGCTGATCGGCACTCTGGGCTGTAAGCAGACTTTTTACAGTGAAATCGTCCATCACGAGATTATTCACAACCAGACTTCAAGGACCCAGCAGGCTCAGCTCCCAAGCACGCAGAGAAAATACAATAAACACGGCCGACCCCCAACGTCTACTGGGGCTCCTGGTCAGGGGCCAGGCAGCCTTGGCCGTGGGCGGGAGCTGAGTGACGCTGCACCAAGGGGGACATGGGGGCCGAGGCGCCTTCTGCTGGGGGGTCCTGGCGCCGGGCGGGCGGGGGGAGGGGGACCCGGCGCCCGTGGTTGGCGATGTCACCGCGCGGGTGGCGCTGCCCGGCGGGGGCCTGGCTGTGCCTGCAGCTACTCGGAGAAGGGCGGGAACATGCCCAGGTCGGCAAAGTCTTCGATGTTGTAGTTCCCGGTGCCCTGGGTGGGGTCTCCTGGCATGGGCAGCATGTCCTGCAGGGGAAGGAAAGAAAGCCGTGGGGGAGGCAGCCCACTCTCCCGGCACCGGGCACCCCAGGAGCTCAGCCTGCCCCGCCACCTCGCAGTCATCCCTCTACTGGGCAGCCCAGAAATATGGGGGGCCCCTCAGAGGAACCCGCTCAGGGTCCTCAAATGTCTGAGACCCGGGGAGCTGCTCCTCCCTCAAGCCGTCTCCAGCAGGTCAGCACGACCTCAGGAGGCAGCCCTTGTCTGTGTGAAGCCGAGCTAGGACCCGGGGCCGACGAGAGCCCCGCTGGTGGGGAGAACTCAGCCTGGCAGCGAGCAGTGCACACAGTGATGATCCAAAAGTATGGGAAACGCAGGGCGGGGAGGGGCGGAGGGAGGACGGAGAAGAGGAGGACACCTGCGGGGCATGTCTGCGTCGCTCTATCAGGGCGGGGCCAAACTCCTGCCGGGCTAGAACTCGCTTCTCACAAGTCCTTCAAGCTTTCTGCCCTCAGAGTCCTGATCTAGCAAATGGGAGTGGCTTATGTTTCAATCCTCGTGGCAGACCTCCCAAAGTGTGTCCTGTCGAATTCACGGCCCAGGAGACACTCTGGGAGAAAAGGATTCTGTGGACAAATAAGTTTGGGAAATAAGGCATACTTTGTCTCCCCCTTAAAAATTCTCAGTCTGCGTTAGTATCATAAAGGCTCTGAAAAAGTCCCTCAGTCAAGAAACTGAATAACTTTGTTTCACCAGCGTTTCACAAACTTATTTGACCGAGAATTCTTTGTAGCATCGTGACCATTAAGAGCCAGGTTGGGGAATTCTGTCAAATGCGGCTGCCGTGAGGCCCACGGATGGGCCAGGGCGAGCCTCACAGGAGGAGGAAGGGGAGGTCAGGCCAGGGCCTGGGTGAGGCACTTCTTTGTGCCTTTGGGAGGATATGGCCCCTTGGAGACCTGGAGTGACGTCTGGGTTCTAGACCTTCGTCTGTGACAATGCTGCTTGACGTGGCGGGAAAGGAGGCTGGGGTGAGGCTGGGGGTCCCGGAGAGCCGCCCCTTGAGAGGAGGGCTACGATGCTAGGAGTCTCAGAAGCCACCCACTTGTGCTTCCTGCCCCTTCCTTGCTCTGCAGGGCAGGCCTGGGGCTCCGGGCGGGACAGAAGCTGCTTCTCTCTCATGCAGGCCTGGCGGGGTGGGCCGAGCACCTGCCGAGGGACAGGCTCGTGCCCCATCTGGGGCATTCCTCCAGCGGGAGCTTGTCTGGTTGAAAGTGGAGCCAAGAAACCCCCCAAGGGGGCGAGTCCTGCTCTGCGTGGCTGTGGGCGTGGGCCTGGGGGTGGGCCTGGGACACCCCCCAACCTTGGGGCTGCAAGGCACCTGGCCTCCCCACCCAGCAGCCAGCAGCCCCATCCTGTGGAACCGGAGTGGAGGAGCCGTCACCCCGACCTGCTCGGCTAGGGCTCCGCTCGCGGGTGGGCCAGAGCCGCACAGAGACCGAGGTGAAGAAGCAGAGGAGAGGCAGCGGTACCTCGGGAAGGCGGTGCTCGCTCGATTTACCTGGAACACTTCGGTCTGACCAGGCTGCTGGTGCGAGTGCTGCTCGCCGCTCTGCTGCCCGTGGTGCTGGCTCTGCCACTGCGACCAGACTTCCGACGGCCGCCCCTGGAACTGCCCGCTACTCTGTCCACTCTCAGCTGGAAGACCCGACGGACAGGACACGGCCTTCAGGAGCCATCCCGAGGCTCCACGAGGCCCGAGAGCCATGGCGGCCCAGGGGGACCATGTGTCTGGGGGCGCCTCCACCCAGAACTGGCCCCATGTGTTCGCCGACCCGATTCCCACACTGACCGGTGGATGATAAGCCAGTTTTGCCCCTGAGAGCCAAGTGGGTGAGAGAGAAATGGGAGCTTCCTGCAGAGTGGCGAGGGGCCTGGGCGGGCAGGGTGGCTCTCCTGGGAGCACATCTGACAGGTGACTGGGGGCTTTAAGCCTCGGAGCCCCCATTGCCCCTCGTGACCGCTAATGGGGCATGTCGGTAGGCTTGGGAACGCCCTGTCCTTGGCAGCATGGATGCGGGCATGAGAAGGGAGGAGCAGTCCTGCCACTCCAGATTCTCCCCACCCCGTCCCCAGCTGCCCTTTACTGGCCCCACTGGACGATGGGTCTCCCCTCCACTGCACTGGCCATGGCCACCCTCACTGCCTTTCCAGTAATTTGGCTGAAGCCACAAATGGCATTCCACAACGTCCTTCCACAAAGGCCAAGAGCCCTTCCTGCCCGCGTCATTAGCCGAGGATCCCTCAACACCAGTCGGTTTGGGAGGAAAGGCATCTGGAAGCTGCTCAGACAAGGAGATGGGTCCCTTTGTGGGTTCAGAAAATTCATTCGTAAATGAGAGCAACCTTGCTTCTGTCCACACTTTACAGAGAGGACTCAATGGAAAAAAGAAATAGGAGGAAGCAGCAGAATTTTGTCTACAACATTTTAAAAACTCACCCCAAGAGGATTTGTTTATACCGAGGCTCAGCAAAAGCCCCCAGGACATTTTCTTCTTCTTCCAAAGCATTCAACAACATGCTGGAGGCGACGGGCTCTCTGTCGAGCTCTGGATGGCGGGACAGGCTCCACCTTGCTCTTTGCAACAGCCATGCTGACCACAGGTGACCCCCTGACTCCTGCCCAATCGGTGGGCACTGGGTTAATCTGAGCTAAGGCTAGAGAGTGTTCTGGGAGACTCCCTCTCTCTCACACACATGCCCCTCACACACTGCCTGACACCTAAGGGCTCCCCTCCCGCCTGACACATAAGACTCCCCTCCAGCCACGTCCCCTTCTCCTTCCCTCCAGCCTCCAGCTTCCAACGCCATCCACACACACGGTGTCTTCCTACTTTCCCTCCCTCCTCACCCCTTGCCATCACCCTACAGCCAAGTCTGTGTGTGCAAGCCCAACCCTGCGGGCCGCAAAGACCCCACTCAGTCCCTCCCGGGCACTGACGCTCCTGACCGCCATCTCTCTGGAACTGTTCTGTTGACTTCTAGGACCGCATCTGATTTGGCTCCACGACCTCCCGCACGGCCCGTTCTCCGGTGCCCCCTGGTTCTCTGCACGTCTCTGGCCCTTAGCACGTGCTGAAAGCAGGGCTCTGAGCTAGGTCTTCCCTTTCATCAGCAGACAGGATAGGGCAGCCTGGTCCATCGCCATGAACTGGCTGAGTCACCGACTCCCGGAGCTCCTGCGCTGCCCGGGCTCTGAGCTTGTGTTGTGCATGTGCTGGGAAACAAGACAGTTCCCACCTCGGCGGCTCCCAGCGCGGGTGGGAGAGGGGTTAGGGAGCAGCTCCATAGAGCTGCGAGCTGTCACAGGGGGACGCAGAGCTAGAAGATGCTCCAGAGGGACACATGACCTTGTCATGGCGAGGCAAAAACGCGTCCCAGAGACTTCAGCTGAGACCAGAGGGAGACTAGTTAGTAGTTAACCAGGTTAGTAGTTAACCAGGTGCAGGGCTGGGAGGTGGGGTTGAAGAGCATTCCAGACATAAGGATCAGTCTGCGCAAAGGCTTGGCAGTGAAGAGGGCGTGTCCACCCAGGGACCGGCAGGTGGCTCCCGATGGATGAGACTGGAGCATGACAGGGCTGGAGGGCGAACCAGGGCTCAGGTCCCACACGAAGGGGCAGGTGTCGAGACAACAGAGAACCGCCAAAGGTCTCTAAGCAGAGGCAAGGCACACACGGACCTGACCTGCATGTTTAGAAAGGCCCCTCCCCAGCGGGTGAGCAGACAGGAGGGGAGGGAAGGGGCCCGAGCAGGAGGAGCTGCTGTGGTCATTCTTGCAGGAGAGGACAGCCGCCTGCACCACGGAACCGAGTGAGAGGCGGAGGGCAGACAGATCTGAGATGCTACAGAGAAGGAGGTGCGGGACACGTGGACTGGCGCTGCTTGTGCCAGGGGCGTGCGTGGGGAGAGCAGGGGATGACCGACTCCGCCTCGGGTGGTCTTTACACAGTCCTGGTTTCTCTCCCAAGCTCCAGGGCCCCGTCTCTGTGCCTCGGAGCTGCCTTTAAGTGTCTGAAGGCCCCTGGGCTCCTCACACCTGAACTAGCCCCTCACCTTGGCGTCTGGTCAGAGAGGAAACCCGCGAGTGCCAACTCTTTCCTCAAACTCGCTCCTCAAGTCCAGTGCATCTCTGGATGCTGCTGAGACCCCACCCCCCAAACATCGTCTCTCACCCCCCGTCTCCTGCCCTCCGTGCCCACTGCCACCACCAGTGCTCTGAGTCCACCCTGCAGCCAATCTCTCCCAAATAAATCCACAGCCTAATGGTGTCTCTTCCTGAAACAGCATCCACTTCTCAAAACCTACCGCAGCCCAGCGCCGTCTGTGGAGGAGCGTCCACGCTCCTCGGGGCTGGCACACAAGAGACCCTGCAACCCGGTTTCTCCTTTTCAGACCTCGTCTCCCACCTTTTTCCTCTGTAACCCCGGCTGCTCGTACCCTGGCCACACAATGACAGCTGGGCTTTCCCCAAACACCAGCGGCCGTCACAGCTCTGTGCTATTGCATGTGTGTTCCTTCTGCAACGTCTGTCCTTCACCGTCTCTGCGCCCGGAGGATCCTACTCATGTTCAAAGCCCTCTCGCGTGTGGCCTTGCACGACCGTCTCTCTGTTCCTGTTTCTTCTCTGCTGGCCTGTGGCACCTGCGTCATCTCCTACGACAGTGCCCATCATGCTCTACAGACTTGCCCCCCAGGTCCTGAGCAACTGACGGCCAGGGACCATATCTGCGTCTACCCCAGGCTCTACTGAGCACAGTGCTTGGGATGAAGGAGGCTTCCAGAAGTATTTGCTGAAGGGAAGAATAAAGGAAGGAACGGAGGAAGGGAAAGAGGGGGGTAAGAAGGATGAAGCATGAATGGTCCATAAGCTTTAATTTCTATTCCCATCCGAGGCCTCCTGGGATAGTCGACTTGTGATGAAACAAACGCACATTCTCTCCTCAGTCCTCCTCAGTGACAGCCAGAGACAGGGTGGGGCGGACGGGGCTGAGGACCAGAGGAAGATCAGCTCTCTATTTGTGTCTGTGTGATTCTATTAATTACAGACACACGACAGCAGGATAAAAACTCCTAAACTTCTAGGAAGGGAAGTGCTCCTCTTAAATGTTTGCATTAGGAAAAAATCAATTACTGGATTGCCTTAGAAATGGCACAAGCTACTTAAGGAAGGAGGGGAAGGACTTAGCATTTCTGGAGTGCTGATTACGTGCTAGGCATCGCGCTGGGTACTTTCTGTACATTATCTCATTTCCTCTTCCCTCTGACTCGAAGAGATGGATCCATTTTCCACATTTTTCAGATAAGAAAACTGGGGCTTGAAGATGTCAAGAAATTTGCCCAACTCCTTTAGCCTGTAAGCGAGCCACGTCTGAACCTAGCTCTTTCTGACACTGAAGCTCATGGGCATTCATTTCGTAAATACGAGGTTTATGTTGATCCCTACTATGTACCTGACACTGAGCAGTGCGTGGGGGACACAGTGGCGATCAAGACGGGCCCAGTTCATTGAGAAAGACAGGTGAGTAACTGGATAATTAGAAGCGCTAAGAGTGCTCATAAGGGAGCACAGGTGGCTCAGGAGGACACGGAGCAGGACCCAACTCAGCCCGAGTCTTCCTAGAGGGGTCACAGGCAAAGCCACCATCCACAGAGTGAGTTCACAGCCGTGTGACAGAGAGTGAAAGGGGAAGGCTCTCCTTTTAGCTCTGCTACTAAATCCATTGGTGACCTCTCTAAATAACGCGCAGTAACTACGACAGAACCTCTCCAGGATGACAGAGTGTCATGGGGCCTAAGCCTAACCCTTGGCCCGACTGTCCTGCGCTGCAGACGGATGGTGGACAGGGGACACACACGGGCTGCCCCCAAGATGCACCCATGAGCTTCTTTGTGGAAAAAGCCCCAGTGGTCACCAACATCCTTACTGTTCCCACAGCCATGTGTACGGCTACAAACTGTGAGCTGGGCTCCAGCCACGCTGTGCTTCCTCTGTTCGTTGGCTTCCTGAGCAAAGTCAAGGCTGCAACAGCCCTGGCTGGATGCACCGGCCACCTGCCAGCCCAGGGGCCCAAACAGAATGTGCTCTGGGCTGCCACCACCTGGGCCAGTGGCGTGGGCGGGCTTTTGTCTCGAGGAGCTTGTGGATTCCTGGGTTGTAGAGGCAAGGGAACGACATCTTCTTTTCAAACAAATTTTTTTTCTTGGCGCTCAATGCTGTAATTTCACTCTTGCTAAATGACATTTTTCCTCATGAGAGTCATCAGACTCAGAAATTTCCCTGAGCTTCAAGGCTCATTGGAAGTCCTGCTCAGAGGTCCTGTGTGGTCCGGTTTGGCTCAGTGGTTCTCAGCCAGAGGTGTCTGTGCCCCCAGGCGACACTTGGCTGTGTCTGGAGACAATTCTCAAGGTCACAAAGGGAGGATTGCCAGTGGGAGGGGGGCGGGTCAGGGAGCCCACTAAATGCCCACAAAAACAGGATGGCCCCACAACAAAGAATTATCTGGCCCAAAATGTTGGCAGCGGCAAGGCTGAGAAACACGGCTGGTCAAGTCGGCCAAGAGCTGACGGGGCGGCTGATTCTCAGAAACGCCTTCGAGGCAGAGGACACCATGCACTTCTCGCCCAAGAACACACACCACAAGGACCCCTCATTTCCCATCATTTCTGGCTAAGACCTCGTCTTTCCATCACTAACTAGTAGGCATGGGAAGGGCTATAATGCCCTAAAATTCGCTAGTAGGAAGGCACGGGCTGAGTTTGGGGCAGGAGCTGGGAGCTGAGGAGCATGGTGTCTGGAAACTTCTCAGGTGGCTGAAACACTGTTACCTGCTGGGCCGGGCAGGGCAGGCCACGATGGACATGGCCTGTCAAGGAAGGGAAACGATGTGCGGGAAGTGTGTCTTGAGCTTTGTGAAAGATGCTCGTCCTCAGAGCGGTCAGTGTCGTCTGCAGTGAGCTGATCTGATCTGCGTTGCCTGGCTGTGACTCGCAACAGGTGCGAATGAAACACTCTGGGCGCGTCTTCCTAAACAGAGGAGCACACGGTGACCAAGAAGCCACGGGCGCTGTGAGTGTGCCGGCCGAGTCATTTTATCCAGGAGCACGCCGAGGAGACAGCAGTTAATGCAGACCCAGCACTGCGGGGGCAGGGACCATGCTCAGAGCGAGCCCGGGCACGGGGGCCTGGCCTGCCATAGCAGCATGGAGGCCCCGTCACCCAGCACCCTTGTGTGCATTTCTCCAAGAAGCATGGTGGTATCGGCAAGCAGAGGCTGGTGGTCACTGAAACAGAAACTGACCAATTTTGGGATTGAGGTCGTATAAATCTCAGCCAGTTATCAACTTATCGCCTCGCAGCTCCCAGGCCACCCTTCTCTGCCCCGCTTTGGGACACGGGAGCTGGACCTGTGAATGTTCCTCCTCTCCTGGCTGGTGCGAGGTCAGCTTCGTCCACAGAGGGTGCTGGGGACACAAGACAGGCCGCGGAGGACGTGGTTCTCCTCCGGGTCAGGGTTCTCCCTCCACAGCGTGTCCACCAGCTGCGGGCAGGGGCCCGGCCAGCAGTCTCCCTCAAACTCTCCATGGCCTGTCCCGTGGTTCCTGGGACGGTTCCTGGTCCACCTGCGCCCTCTAGCTGGCAGCTGCTTCCACTGACCGCCGGCAGCCCACAGCCTCGGGCCAGATTGTCCACCACCGCAGGTCCTGCGTCTGCGGCAAACACTCCTCCGACAACTGACCTCAGGCTTTGTGGGGGGGCCTTTTCCTCCAGGTCCTTAGCTCCTTCCTCGTCCACTTCCCTCAGCCTTCGAGCTGGAAGCCGATGCCCACTTTGTTATTCCTGTCTTCCTCAGGGTCCTCTTTTACCACCTTTCATCAGTTACAAAATCTTTGTATTGAATGTTCCCTGTTCAGACTGCTGCTGTGGTTTCTGCATCCTGCCCGGACCCCGACTGACACACCTTTCCCGCCCAGCTCGTTACGGGAACGACCGCTTAGACGTGTCCCTGCTTCCAGGAACGCACCGGGTGGGTTTCCAGTTGTGCGTCTGGATGCTGCATTTCAAGCGACTAGGTTTTACTGTGATGGAAACTGAAACTAAGACTGGAAACACAAATGCGATGGTAGCATATTTCGAGATAACTCAACAGACCTGACGTGGGAGAAACGCCTTGGACTGACCCCTGGAGGCCCCTGGAACAGATCAACACGGGCTCCCAGGAGGGCTGGGACCAGGAAGGGCCGCTGTCTCACTCCGCGTGTGAACTCAGCGCATGACGCTGCCCTGAGGAGTCCCGCTGAGGGAGAAGCGCTGTTCCAAAGTGGCCTGTCACGCTTCCCTCCCCTTGACGGCAGCCGCTTGGCCGTCAGTGGGTGATGGTCAGCAAGTCTGCTTGGCAGGCATTCCCAAACCACCCCACCCCACTCCAGCCAGCGAGAAGGAGGTGGCAGGATCGACTTTGCAACCTCTCTGGGTTGAGGGGTGAAGCCAAGGACAACTAGCTGAGGGGTTGTCCTGGGGGTGCTGCCATGCGTGTAGCCCTCAGGCCCCACCAACAGGCCCCAGGCCCAGCTGTGTCGCCCACACCCTCTGAGAGCCCCTGGGAAGCCACTCGGATCTGCACACTCGGATCTGCACACTCGGGGCCAGGGTGTGTGTCCCCTGCAAATGTAAATGCTGCCAGGTGTTTTAATGGTTTGATGTTTATTTAACAGTTAATGAGACTGACGGTTAATGGAGCCTGCTCGGCCCCTTCTCCACTCACCCGTTCTCCTGTGCCCTCTCCCCTGCACCCCTTCCCACTGCGCTCCACTCCGGAACACCCACCGTTGTCAATAAACTGCCCCTCAGGTCCTCTTCCTAACCGCCACCCTCTTCCCTCCCACCTTCACCAACACCCGCCCCTCCCTCCACCAGGACGCCACCTCCTTGAAGCCCTCTGGAGCTGAAGATGCTTGTTTTATCCACAGATCCCATGGCCCACCCTACTCTCTGGCCCTCCACGCAGCTGTTCTCCACCGTGATGTGAAACGTGCCCCGTCTGCCTGTGCGGTGGCCATCCTGGGGGCTCCTCATCACAGACGATGCTGACACCATGCCCTCGAGGTCGTCCTCCCATCCTGGCCCGAGCCTCCATTCCCGCTCGCTCCTCCTCCGCTTTCTGTCCCCACTTCCTCGCCTGCTCCTGCCTCCACCGTCTGGCTCCCAAAGGCATGCCACCAGCATCCTGTTCTACTATACTTCTGCGTCGAGCTCCATGAACAAGACAGAGGCCACGGGAAGCCTCTCAGTTCCCCTCTGTGTCCACTTACACTCTCCTCCTTGCACTCATTGAAGGCTTCCTGCCCCTTCTCCTTACTAGAAACCACGGAACCTCTGCGGGGCCGTCCAGCTCCCGCTTAATCCTAAGACGCCCTGAGTGATAGACTAGAAGACGGTAAGTATGGAGGCGCGGATGAGAGCACAGACCCCAGGGGCACCACCCGGGTTCCAATCTGGCTCCACAGGTGACTCTGTGGCTTCCCAGCTGTGAGGCCGCGGGCAGCTCTCCGGCCTCACTGTGCCTCCATCCGTTTATCTGTGAAATGGGAATAATCATGGTATCTCCAGCTCAGGGCTATCGCGAGCAGTAAGTGAACTCAAATGTGTGAGATGCTAAGCACACAGTAAGCACCCAGTGAGTCAGCTGCTGTCATCGTCATCATCATCATCGTCATCATCATCATCATCATCATCATCATCATTGTCAAGTGTTGGATAGCTCGAAGGCAGCTGTACAAATGGCTGCTGAGCCTGGGGCCCCATTTGTGTGACCCTGTCCTGGGTCATTGAGCTGTGTGGTGGCCTCTGTCCCTCCTGTGTCCCATGTCTACTTATATTCAGAGCCTGGCACTTGCTAAGTCTCCACTTAGCTCAAGGACCTAGACTGTTGGGGCAGGAGAGTGGCCTGTGCCCTTTTTCGTCATGGCCACACGAGATGCTCCCAGCCTCACCAGGCTGGGTGCCGGCTCCTGGACGCCTCTCCTGACCACGCTACGCTCAAGGACCTCTGCCTTCAGTGACCTGTGCTGCCATGTCTCTGTCCCATCGTCTCCCCTGCCTCAGGCTCTGCCAGGGATCTTCCCTGGGTCAGGACCCCGTCTCCTCCCCTCGTTCCCAGGGCTCAGCATGGGGCCTCAGGAAGGCTCGGTGGAGATGGGGCCTCCTGCCCTGGGGAGGACGGGGTACCCACTACCTCCAGTCTGCAAAGGCCTGTCTTCAGGGGGAGGCAGGGGTCTGTCCAGGCCCAGGGAGGACGCTGGATGTGGAGACAGAGAGGGCAGCTCTGCGGGAAGTCAGAGGCCTCTGACCTCAGGCTGGTTTCTGAGTTGAGCTCTTGTCTGGGCCCGAAAGCAGCTGCCACGGGGCTTCCCCTTCCTCAAATGGGGCCTCTGCTCCAAACTCAGTTTCCCTGAATGGTCTGGCAAGGACATCTGAAGGCTGAACACGTGCACCTGCTACAGGTGAACGAGATCAACGCTGGAGGGACAGACCGATCCAGAAGGGAGGGAGAGAGCAGGATTGGGAAATGCTGGGGTCCCCGCGAGTGGAGGGGGCAGAAGTGCTGCTCTTAGTGGTGGTGGAGGAGGGGGCGGGAGCGGCCGACAGCTCCAGGCTCTGGGCTAGGCTCAGCAGAGAGCTTAAATGGAAGTATTTAATGTGCCAAATGGAAATTTGGATGTTTGGGCTCAGCCTCAGGCTCACCCACGAAGGTCCACTCTGCAGAGAAGCGCCCGTGAGCCACACTACGGACATTACCCGCTGACAGCACTGCGAGAAGACGCGCACCAGCTCAGGCTTCTTACAGTATCGGGGGCCACTTACCAGCCCCTCCTTATGTGAGATGGAGCCCTGGCCCTTGAGATGCTGACGGGTTCATTTAACCCATGCCAAGTGAGCAAGCCAGGCTTCTGGGAATTGCCCCAGGGGTCGGTTACGTAATCCTTTACGGCCTGAGGTTTCGTTAAGAAAGCTAGGAGAGATGTTCCCACAGGGGCTGGTCTCCCTCTTTTAATATGAAAAAGAGGGAGAACTTTACAGTGTTTATTATTTACACAATTCACTTATACAACTGATCATCCCTACAACTGTCTTCTAGTTTTTTGAAACAAGACTAGAGGGTTTTTGACTTGAGGGACCTGAAAGTCCTTGCTGAGGGCCGTAAAGGGTTAGAATAGCATTTAACTGACATCAGCGCACAGGAAGACAGTCCCAGGGTCCTGAAAATGATCAAGTCATTCCACAGAGCCAAGGTCTACGCAGCCAGTCTCTTAGGAACACCACTGGTCTTCTCAGAGCCAGAAGAGGCACTTGGAAACCTCCAGACTTTGTCCCAGGATTCTGGGAGCTTGGGGTTCAGCCCCCGACTCAGGACGGTCAGACAGCATTTCTGTGGCTCCCCCAGGAATTCCTTCCCTGATTCCCCACCTACCGAACCCTGGAGTCCTGTTGGCCAGACCGGAGTAGGCGTTCCCGCTGGGCGAGGAGGTAGCTGGGCTGGAGAGAGGACTGTAGGAGGAGGGGTCTGCCGGGTAGGTGTGGCTCGTTCCAATCCCAAAGGGAGACGACTGAGTCTTGCTGGACTGAGAGGGGATAAAGCAAAGACCGGAAGCATCACCAGCAGGTCCCACCCCCTCCCTAGGCTGGTCACTGCCACCCACAGGTACAGCAGGCTGGGCAGCATCTCCTCTGGGCTGACCATGACTCCCAGGGGCCCTCTGGGCAGCTGGGCACAAGGCATGAGTCAGGCCAACACGTGCGGGCCCAGAAACTGCAGGACTCGGGTCCTGGGCCTTTGGGACAGGTCTGGCTGAAGTTACCCCCAGGCTACAATGATCTGGGTCCTCCGGCTTCCAGTCGCGGGGTCCTTGGCCCTGTGACTACCCAGAACTCCCTCAGCCCAACATGCTCACAGTGACCCCAGCAGCTTGGTGTCCCCACCCGCTCCTGGGTGGGGCAGCCAGAGCTCCCAGAGTGGCGAGGGGCTCATTCCTGATGGGGGGGACGCCCTGCATGCCTGCCTCTCCTCCCAGCTCCGCCAGGCCATGGCAGCACGGAGAGAAGGCTGCTATTGGGGACCCAGCCCTCAAAGTGCCCTTGGGGTGGCCGGGGCTCCTGGGCGCCCAGCTGTTATTGGGGAGGTCAGCTCCAGCCCAGGGCACTGACCAGCCCTCAGAGCCACATCCAGGGTACTCTGCTCCCTCTTGTTACCGGGGGGCAGTGCCCTCACCGACGCCCATACCTGTCCGGGAAAGGGTGGCCGACTCCCCGTCCATGCCACCTGACCCTGGTTTAGCTGTCGAGAGATCTGGGACATGTTCTGGCCGGTTGAAGAGGAGGACTGGATGTCATTCACTCCAGGCACGTGGACCACGGAAGAGCTAGGAGAGAGGAAGACACACTTGTCGTGAGAGACGCAGGCGCCCTGCCCGCCATGCGCCTCCCTGGGCCCCTCCCGGCTTCCACTCACTCGCCCTCCAGTGCAGCAGGTCATTGGACAAGAGGGCCATGCGTGGCGAGCCCCTGTTTTCCTCCCGTCCCCTCAGGGCTCCCTCTGTCCACACTGTGTGGCCCTGCCTCTTCCTCCCCACAGGGCCTCCCGCACTCTCCTCTCAGCCCTAAACCCACCCTGTGTCTCTGGCTCCAAGCAGATGAATCCCAGGAAAAGAGAAGCTTCTTAGGGGGACACCTGTCTCTGTTGACCGCTCCTCTGTGCTCTGGGTAATTTGTTCCTTTGGGCCCTGCAGGGCTTAAGGACTCTGGAAGCAGGCCGTGGGCTGCCAGGCCATTTGTTTTAAACAGAAAGAAGTGCCCGTCAATGGAAGCCTGCTGGACGGGACCAGTCCTCTGCCCGGAGCACAAGTGGTTGACCTCTTTTGCCCCTGCCCACTCATCTTCAATTTGACTCAAGTCTTTTTTCTTGTTGTTATATCAATTTCTGTTTTTTTGCTGAGGAAGATTGGCCCTGAGCTAACATCTGCACCAACCTTCCTCCACTTTATATTTGCATCACTGTCACAGCGTGGCTGACAAATGGTAGAGATCTGAACCTGTGAACCCAGGAGCCACAGCGGAGTGCGTGAACTTCACCACCACACCACGGGCCAGCCCTCAACAAGTCTTTACTAGGCACTGGCTGCCAGCGTCCACATGCTCCCTGCTTGTCCTTCCGCGGCTCCACCTCTGACCGCTGCCTCTGCTCCGAGGCACTTTTTCCCTGAGGTTTTCCAGCTGTGCCGAGTGTACCACGAACTCATGGAAGGCAGGAAGAGGGGGAGACATCACTGCGTTCCAGGCCCTTCCTCCCGCCTCCTGGGACCAGCCCGGCACATGGACCATCCCGGCACAGGGTGCAGCGCTGGGCGCCCTGGAGTGAATCGAGTGGAGAGAAATGGGGCTCAGCACAGACGCCTTGGGGAGGGCATCTTCAGCCAGGTTTGAAGAAAGGCAGTTTATAGATGCATAGAAATGACCAGGGACGATTTGACCCGTTGTACTGTGATATTTCTTTGACGCTATCTGGTTCCTCGTAAGACAAACAGGACCCAAGAATGTCCAGACATTCGTGCACCAACTGTTGTCAAAGGGGGACGTCCCTCCCATCTTCCTGGACCACCTCCTCCCCTAACACAGGGCTCGCTTCTCATTCTCCTTCCTGACGAACGGACGACCTCAGGGGGCCCTGTCTGACCACAGATCTCCGCGGGGCCTCTTCCCTGCCCCTCGGCACCCTCCCAGAGCACCGACTGACGAGAGCTGGCTATGGCGTTGCTGGCCCTGGGAACGGCGCCCGGGCTGAAAGGCAGGGCCTTCTTGGGGCTGGGGCAGCCTCTGCACCCGGCCCTCCCCAGGGGCCTCAGGGCAGAGAGGCAGGGGCCAAGGCCAGGGACCATGGGATGCGGTGAGGACACACTGAGGGATGCACAGTAATGCCCTCCGCTAGGGGCTCAGGGCGACCTGTGACCGTCACTCACCTGACACCCCTTCCCACTCCAACCAGCTCAGCCCCTTTGGATTTACAGGAAATCCTGCCCATTCCACAGGCTTAAGGCCACACAGGCATCCTTTCATTCATTCATTCATTCATTCACGCTGGGGACTAGTACTGAGCGAGCACCTTCTGTATGCCAGGCTCCCCACATCGGCTGGTGTCCTCCTCCGACTCCATCCCCGCCCCGCACAGCCAGCCACGCACAAGCTGCCTTTCCTTCTCCGTAACTGGCCCCCACCCCACCTCACTATTCTCCTACAACAGCCTCCCCAGGCTCAGCATCTCCAGCTGGACCGTCTGTCCTCCGTGCCCACCTGCAGCCTCGCTCCTCCACTCCTGCCACCTAACTCTCTCCAGGACCCCAATGCCTCAGCCCCTCTTCTCCCACAAGCCATCAGTGACGAAGTCTGATCCTCAGCGTGGCATTCAAGGCCCCCCCAGTCTCGGCCTCTGTTTCTCCCAGACCTGAAGACTCCCGCATCGCTCCTGCCTCCTGGCTTTGCCAGCACGTTCTGCTCGTTCTTCCCGTCTACGGTCCGGTTTCCCAGCAGCCCTGGAGCCAGGCTTATCTCTGGTGGTGGCGACAGGGCTTCCCCAGTGACCTAAAAGAGGACCCTGATGCTAAGAGCCAGGCCTGGGGCAGGTGGACACCCTGAGTGGTCGTTTAGGCTGAGACCCCAGACACGATGGGCTGAGCTGTCCTCTCTTCCTTGGAGCTGGCTGTGGCCTCTGGGGGCCCAGGGACAGGGCACTTCCTGCCACCTTGTCAGGTGTCCCCAGCTCTGTCCCATCCCAGTGCTGGCTTGTGGCTAACTCACTGCCTTCTCCTCTGCAGGCAGCACTACAGAGCACAGTGGCCAGCCGGTGCCGTTCTCATCCGAGAAAGAGGGACCACCGCCGCCCGTCCACGGCAACTTGCCGAGGGCTCAAGGGCAGAACCAGAATCCCCAGCTGGCCCGGGCCTGTAGAACAGGGACCACTCCCCGATGTCTGCAGTATTTGCTGCACACGCACCTGAGCTCTGAGATCCTGGGCTTCCCCGGGGAGGGGCCTCTGCCCGTGCCTCCACCCCTCCCCCCCCCCCCCCCCCCCCCCCCCCCCCCCCCCCCCCCCCCCCCCGCACGTACCTGAAGGCCTTCCCCGAGTGACCCGGGGGGAAGGGGCTTCCTTGGGAGTAGATCTGCTGGGTTCCTGCTGCCGAGGCTGAGCTCATCATCTTCTTCTCCGCTGGGAAAACCAGAGCAAGGGTCGCCTGAGAGGGTGCCTGCCCTCCAGACCACGGGGCAGGCGGCCTCGAGAACAGGTGCAGGGGTGGGTGGAGGCGAGTAGGAGGGCACACTCTTGGGGCAGCCCATCCACATGCAGCCTGCTGCACCCTGGCCTCTGTGCCCCCGTGTTCCAGGACCTCACTCAGGCTGTGCTCTGAGCCCGGGCTGGGCCACAAGCCGCCCGAAGACAGTTGGGAAGACGAAAAGAGCTAATGAAAGTTCTTCCCCAGACGCTATTTTATGGATTCCTTTCTCCCCCATGGGCTGGAGATGAAACACCTTGTCTTATGTGCGAGGAAGCAGAGAGCAATGGCTGAGAGGACAGGCTCCCGCACGCAGCTCCCTGGGCTTGAACCCCAGCTCCGCCTTACTTATCAGGGGTGTGCCTTGGGCACGTTATTAAACCTCCTCCTGCCTCAGTTTCCCCAAATGGAAGACAGTGATAACAATAGGGCGGCGGTGGGAATTCACTGAGTTAACGTAAGTGACGTGCTTAGAACAGTGCCTGATAACAGAGCAAACAGCATCTAAACGTCTGCGATCACTTGTTAGAGTGTGAAAACCGAGGCTCAGCTCGTCTGAGGGCGTGAGCCGTCAAAGGAGGGCCCAGGGCCTGAATCCAAGCCCAGTGCTCCGCTCAGCCTGTTGCCCCAGAACTCTACCCATGGCCCTGTCCTCGTTCAGCAGGTGCTGAAATGGCCCACAGACCGGGGAACCTGGGGCGGCCCCAGACCTGTGTTTCTCGACTTTCCACAAGGCTTCTTTTGGGAGGCTGAGCTCCTCATGCAAGCGAGGACACCCAGGCCCAGCCCGGAGGTGTAATAATTGACGCTCTTCTGCCCCCACTGAATGGTCAGTAGAAAACTCGACTCTACACTCTCACGCACAGAGGCTGGGAGGAATGGGCTCAAATCCCAGCCGGGTTGTTTGGATCTCACGTGAGCAAGACGGTGCTCTCTGTGGTGGTCTGAGAAACAGGACTGGGGAGGGGAGAGCTCTCACCGCCCCCGGAATTGAGGTGCCAGGCTCTCCGAAGCACCCTCCCATTTCCCCAGAATCTCAAAATGCCTACACTTCTTATTCCTACCATCCCTAACATCCCCGCCCACAACTAGATCCTGGAGCAAAGAAAACAAACGTTAGTTACGTGGCCATTATTTTGTGAGCAGACAGACCCCACGTCTGCACCTGTCTCTGGCTTGATGGTGGGAGGATGGGTGGAGGGGTGGGGCCCCACTCGGTGGGCAAAGGCAGTGATGGACACTCAGGCTCGTGGGCTTGGGGCCAAGATAGCATGTGCCGAATTTCCCACGTGTGTAGACAACCTCAGTGACATGTTAATAGACCAGGGGCACTGAGCAGTCTTTCTGGTCCCTTTTCTTTTTGCTGCAGTGGCGGGCTGCCCGTAGGAAATCCTCACAGGATGGAAGAAGCTCAGACACTTGGGTGTGTATTTCTAACCCAACCATAGGGCCTTGGATCTTGGGGAGAAAGAGAGATGAGGCTAGAAGTTGCAGGAGTGAGGGGCTTCTCTTGAATACAGACTTAATGCAAGCCTTTTTCTTTCCTCATGTATTTAAGTTTTCTGGTGGTTTGGGTAATTGAGAAACCCATTTTTTTTCCTAACTGCTCCAGAACCTTTGTAGGGTACAAAATGAAAGATCCTTGATTTTACGGTTCAATCTTCTGTATCCTTCTTCATTTTTTTTAAATTATTTTGATCTACTTGATTGGTTAGAGACGAACAAAGGCCTACTGAAATCTTCCACTACAGTTTGTTTTTATCAGGACCTTTCTGTGTTTCTATTTATTTTGGCTTTCACCTGTTTCAACATCCACGACATTTATATTTTCATTTTAGGTTGCCTTTAGTTGCATTTTGTCTTGTTTTGGTTCCACTGTGCTTTGGCAGTGCTTTATTCAGAAGTTACTGATCAGGAGTCCTTGAACATCAACTTTTTTATCACTCTTGATATTCATACTTTTTTGCTATCTCACTATTTTTCTTCTGAGCGTCGTGCAATTTGATAAACATTGTCTTGTCTTTTAAGTAGTTCAGAGGCAAGACTTCCTTCCTTCTTTTCTTTTTTCTCCCTTGCATTACAGGTTATGTTTCTATACACTTGAAGCTCTATTTCCCTATAAATATCAGAGATAGAATAGTATAAACCGATGAGAAATTTCTGTTTATTACCCCTTGTCCAAAATATGTCTGAATCTTTGCTGAACTGACTTTGATTCTAGTTTTTATTTATTTTTTTATATCTTTTGTATCTTCTAACAATTTTTTACATTAATTCTAGCTGCTGGTGGTTTCATTGTTCATCACTACTGCTTTTCCAACCTATCCACTTCCATTCTGTATTCTGTATTTTGATTCATTTCACAAACAAGCGTAATCTTTTGCCAGTAGTTTTTCCACGAGATCTAATTAGACGGTCACGTCCGAGAATGTCCTTCTGTCGTTTCCTTATATGAAAGCAGATTGATAGGTGGAAAAATTTTGGATCACATTTTCCTTCCCTTCTTTTTTGTCTGTTGATATTTTTTCTACTTTGTTATCTTTATGGGAAGGTGTCTACATTTGCATAAGCTTAAAAGTTCAAATGAATTTCCCAGAAATGCTATGGGGACCCGGTCAGATATTTCAGGCTTATCTGAAAGGAGAAAAACACTTTAGACATTCCACAACGATAGCACACCCTCTTGCTGGACGGAACTATATTTCTCTATAGGAGTCAAGCAAATACCGACGCAGGCAGGTAGCATGTCTGGGGGGCCAGTGGGAACCCACGGCAGGGAGCTGCCACCAGGTTTTCTCTTGGCAACTGGACCCTGTGCTGTGTTGGCACCTGCCGTTCTCGGCGGAAGTCAGCCCCAGCGCCCTCCTGACTTCTTGGCACTCGGTCCACAGCCAGGTGGGCATGACGGCTGCGGGCTTCCACCCACATGCTGGTAACAGGAACCTGAGGACTGCTGTCTTCCATCTGCCCGGGGGGCCTCTCTGTCCGCCCCTCAGCTTCACTGTCCCCACTCGCCAGCCCTAGTAGGATGCTGTTGGGGTTCCCTTACAAATACAGCCTTTCTCAGGCTTCCTCTGGGTAAATCAGCTGGGTTCTCCCTTCAGCTGACCCTGATTACACCGTATCTTGCAGAAATTTCATGACCATGTGAAAATAGAAACTTTTTTCTGGATTTTGGAACCGCCAAAGACATTCCCAAGTTTTATACTTTGCTAATCTTAGTGCTAATCTGAGTGGGAGACTGAGGCAGCTGCACATGTGGGTTCCATGTGACATGACTTAGAACTGCACCGTTTTCTCTAACAGCAGGACAGACACAGGTAGCGACTAAGGACCACCACATAGGATCCCCTGAGTGCATTACGGAACAGCCACATAACGGAACTCTATGCAAGCAATAGAAATGATTTAGATCGTTGAATGATCTGGAAATACTATTATTCATAATGAATGGTCAAGGGAAAAAATTAAGCTACCAAACTATGAGCTCAATTTTGTATACAGAAAGAATTCATCTGTGAGGAAGAACAGAAAGGATATACTGTAAAGAGTTAAAGATGATAATATCCAGGCGGTGGGATGGCGGATAATTATTTTTAATTGCATATTTTCATTTTAAAATGTGGTCCTCTCTATGTTAAGGATGAAGTTTATATATATTTTTTAACAGGGACATGTGTTTGGTTTAATAAAACTAAACTGCACTATGGATGAACAGAGTTCATTTACTCCATGCCCTCAAGTTTCAAAGACAAGGTGTCAGGGAACCCAGGCTGGCTGCCCCTGGTGACAGGTGCGTGAGAGGCAAGGACAGGAGCAGGGAGGGTCAGTCAGACTCCTGTATTCAGGGCTCTTTTTACACCCTGTGACAGTCACCGAAAACTCACCCTCCATGCCCTCTCCCTCAAGGGTGGCTGTCTCTAGACGGCCGGACCGCACCTGTAAACCCACATCCTGGCAACCTCAGCGCCGTCTGGAAACTTACACGCACTGATTCCCGCGAACATCTCAGCAAACCGGGGATCCCTCTCCTGGGAAAAGATTGCATCTGCCTTTTCCACGGACTTCCCGGCCTCGTGGACTCCGGCTGGTAGGTTGGGGACAGGAACCTGTTTGCACATTAAAACACAACGGCATCCACGTGTGAGGCACAGAATGCACGTTGCCAGCGGACACCAGCTCTCCTTCATCGGGTCTCCCTCTCTGGAATCGCTGGCATTTCAGGCTTGATTCTGTAGGGTGGGGAGCTTTTCTCTATGTGAAAGCCAAGAACAGATGGGGTAGGGGTGTGAACTGGAGGTCACAGAAAGGACAACCGAGTCACGCTGATCACTTAGAGAGAGATAAATAAAAATAACCAACTGACTCTAAATATCAAGAAAAGTGAACATGAAGTTTACTTTAGGAGAGAAGCCACATACAAACACTTGGGGCAGTTTCTCCACGTGGCCACGAAGCAGCGGGAAGAGGAGGAGGCAGAGGGGGAGAGAGGCAGACTTGGGATGGGAGAGGGAAAGGACGCAGACAGGGCAGGATAGGAGAGGCGTGCCAAGGAAGAGGGGGCACAGATGAAGGCAGTAGAAAGGGCAGGTAGCTGGAGGACGGACAAGGTTGAGGATGCGTCTGCTGGCTTCTGCGTGCTGGAGTTCCTGCACAGCCTTTGGAAACTGTTAGCTCTCTGACGTTCTCAGGACTGGCTGACTGCGGCTTGTGGTTCTTCCCCTGGGCGTCACGAGTTTTATACTCTTCCTGGCTCAGCTCTGCATGGAAGAGTGAGTAGACCCCAGGGACCCAAATCTCTCTGCACTGTAGAGGGTGGATGGGGCAATATACCCAGTGGGCTGAGGGGCTCAAGCTAAGGCTTGAATTTAGCCCCTAGTCCATTGGGTTGGAGACAGTTCCAGTTGGGAAAGAGTTTTCTAGAAACTCACCTGCGATAAGTCGTATGATGACAACCCATCTCTCTGGTGCACTTCCAATTCTGCCTGCTGTTGCTGAAGCTGCCTGTGAAACGAGAAGTCAACAAGGGTCATGAGGGACGGAAGTGGTGGCGGCAGGGCTGGACCAGAACGTCCCCTGTTCTCCAAAGGCGCAGTGGGTGACACCGGATAGATCTCTAAATGGTTTTCAATTTTTATTTATTTTATTATTTTTTTAAATGCCCCAAATCAAGACTCTAAGCCCTGTATCTCAAGTTTAGGTTGCCAATATTTAGGAAGTAAGCTTGGATTTATGACTTCGTTTTATGCACGGTGAAAAGACACTACACTAAAAAAGAAAACATTTTAAAGCAAAGTTCAGAAAAGCAGGTGGGTTTAATGCTGAACAAAGCTGCTGGCTCCAGCTAACGCTGATCTATTAGCTATAGGAGCTTCCATGCCCTCATCCAAGCCCCACACTGAACCATCATAGTGGTTACTTCAGCCCACGTTGAAGTTCCAAGAGGTATGTGGGTGTCCAAGCTGCCTGACTAGCACATGGTTACGACCTTGCAGAGCCAGGCTCCGACCTATGCTGCTGACTCCCCCTGCTCTGCTCTCTGCGGCTACCAGGTTGCTCCATTTGGGAAAGAAAAAGACTCGTTAGAGAAAAAGGCCACTTTACGTTTTAAACTATGGAAACTGGGTTACTTCCAAGGACAGTGAGCTCTGCAGCTCAGAGCCTAGAAACAGGGCAGGATGACAGGGTCCTCTTCACTTCCAACCCCAGCAAGAACGACGGGCAAAAAGCTATTAGCAAATTACCAAACACATTGCGCACGCACCCCCCTGCCCATGAATTAATTTAAAGGACATGAACAGACCATTCAAGCATTAACAAATAAATAGACAAACATACAACATGCACTATGAATACATATACTATACAATAACATATATAATATGTATAGATGTATAATAAGCAAGCATAGGGAAACATTTTCACCATCGAAACAATAAAAATAAGTGCAAATTAAGACATCCCTGATGTATAATTTTTTGCCTACTGAGTTGGTAAAGACACATTCAGCATGGTGGTTTGGTGTTGAAACTACCATGGTGGCACGTGGTTGGAGAAGTGTGTGTGGGACGATCTTCTTGGAAAGCAATATGGTGCCCCTATTGGGAGCTGCGAGCACAGTTACTCTCCCAGGTGGGCATCCAGCTGCTGGGGGTTGTGCTAAGGAACTTATTCAGCGGCAGGAACAAAGAGCTATCCACGCAAAATCAGATGTAACAGGGGGGCGACTTCGTAAATTACGTCTATCAATTTACTGAGTGAACGCTCCACGGTCACCAAGAATGACCATTGGGAAGACGATCTGGAAACACTGGTGTGATAAGAACATGTGGAAATGTTATGTACACTATGATTATGGCCAGGAATATCGTGTCCTATGTGGGTGAACACAGAAAAAGTATCGTGTTTGCATTAATCGGAAAGATTTTCCTTGTTTATTTTCACTGTCTATTTTGAAGCAAGAACCACCTTAGTGGGTCCCTTTTAGCATCTTGTGATCCAGCTTTTCTCACCCCTGGCCGTGCCCCACAGGGAGGTAGTAGGACCCCACAGAGGGACCACTCGCAGGTACCTTCCTCTGGGCCTGTGGCACATGGAGGGCCAGCCAGACACTCAACTGGGAGGAAGTGAGGGGAGGACAGAGAGGGAAAGTCTTCCTGAGCAGCAAGAAGTCACTGGGTGGGAGGGGCAGGTGTGGATGTGGACCAGCTCGGTCAGAGGAGCAGGTCCCTGCAGAGGTGCCACTGGGAGCTCATAGCTGGACAGCTGCAACCTGAACCAGCCTGAGCACAGGTATGGTGAGGACCTGAGGGCCCCACTCAGGAGGAGGTGGTGCGGCCAGCCCCGGGGTTCGCCAACCACAGAAGGGAGGCAAGAAGGACCTGTGCATCCACCCCGCTGTGCCCCGGCCCTCTGTGGGGACTCTGCATCCCCTGCAACTCGCTCAGGCTCACAGCGTGCACTGACAACCCTCCAGGTGGGTGTCTTTTAAACCCTTTACAACGGAGGAAACTGAGGCCCAGGGGTGCTAAGGGTCTGCAGAAACTAGATGGTGCTCTCGAAGAGGGTGATTAGAGAGGGTTTAATGAAGGGGATACTTAACTGGCATGGGCAGTGGTACGGGAACCGCAACTCGGGTGGTCAAGAACCCCCAGGCTAGCATCAGTGGTAGCCATGACCTCCCATGACAGGAGTGGCGGGGGGTGAGCACTGCTCACACCTGCTGAGAGGCCTGCCCGCCAGGAGCCTGGCTTCAGTGACAGGTGCAGCCCTTGCCCACCTTCGGGAGGTGGCGAATGCTTCCTCCAAGCCTTCTCTCACCCCACTGTCTCCGGCCAGTCCCTCCACTGGCCAAGCAACTGGGAGTCAGAGAGCAAGGGAGCCCCCTGCATCCTGTCCACAAAGGTTAGCATCGGCCCCTCCCAGCCAACCAAGCGGGGCAGAGGGCGGGACGGCTTCAGGGGGCCGGTAGGCGGTGCAGACTGAGCAAGGCTCGCTCCTCCAGTTCCACGTGCAGGCTGCCTGGGTCACACTAAAGACGCGTTCCTTCGACCGACTATTCTCGGCTCCTAAGAACAGAATACACGGAGGTGATCTGGTCCACAGCTCCCCTGGTCCAGCAACCCTTGGTCCATCAGCTCTTCTGATGGGCAACTGGCCAGTCACTGCTGGACCCCCTCCTGTGCCGGGGAAACTCACTATTTTTTGAGGCAGCCCACTCCATTTGTAGACAGAAACGATTATAAAAAGTCTGTCCCCAAATCTGCCTTCCTACCACTCCCATTTTGAGTTCCAACTCAGAGAAACACACGATAGGTCAAATTCCGTTTCTAAACTCTTTTTCTCAGCATTCAAAGAGCTGCACAACCCAAACACTCCTCCAGCCATGCCTGTCCCTCCCGTGCTCCCAGTGAGTGTGTCCCCCCAAAAGGGAAGACATCCTTGCAGAGAGCCCAGGCTGGGGGACCCCGTGAACAGTTCAATTAGAACTAAGCCCAGACGAGCCATCTCTTCAGGGATGTGCACTGGAATATCCACGCCAAGCTGCGTGCGGGCTCTGGAAAGAGAAAGGTAACTCAGAACCTGGGTGGTCCCTGCCCTCGTGGAGCTGACAGTCTCCAGGGGAAGATGGAGAAGTCGGTGAGCAACGCAGCATGCGGAGGGAAGAGCCACGACTTGGGAAGAATGAGGTCCCAGACCAGGTTCCATCTGAGCGCACAGTATGTCTCCTAACCTTGGTCAGAGCGTGGGGAAAAGGTTAAGGATCAAACCAGCAGCCTGTGACTTCCCAGCAGGCAGCTAAAGCCCATACTAAGACCAGGAGTACAAAAAACAATTTAAAAAATGGTATTTAAAAAAATTTAAGGAGAATCAATATACTCATCCATAGGAAAATCATAACTCACTATATTTTCTCATTCTTACGTTACGGTTTTGCTTTGTTTTATTCTGATTTACACCTTGAAGGCCTCATCATCTTTCATTCGCAGGGCCTGTAAGATCTCAGTCCTCTGCCCACATCATCACATCTCTGCAATGTTCCCATTTTACAGATAAAGAAAGTGAGGCTCAGAGAGAGTTTCAATGACGTCCCCAGGGTGACATGCACACACAGGATCCAAATCCGGGTCCATCTGGCTGTGGAACTTGCACCCTGACCCACGATGTAATGAGGGCCATCATCCCACATCTCCCATCCCAGAGCTATGGGCCCAACAAGACACCATCTTGGCAGGAACCCATGGACCACGCTCTCCTCCTTGCACAATCTTCCCAGAGCCCACCCTTCAACCCACAGGCATTCTTCCAGGAAATAACGACCGCTCCTACCTCCTGGCTCACCCTCTGTGTGCAGCCTGAGCACAGAATCTTAGCGAGGGGGCACGGCCACTGCACAGGGCTGTGCTGCTGTTGGGCCCTGGGTACCTGGCCGTGGGGTGAGTGGGGCAGAAACCCAGCCCTCTCCACTCGCCTGGCTGCGCCCCTTGGAGGAAGAGTGTGTGCTTCTAATTTGCAGGAAGGTGCGGGGCCGCCCGAGCCATCAGGAAGAGTGTTTGGGACTCCAGACCACACAAAGGTCTTCCAGTGGGATGCAGGAAACGAGGCCTCAGGCTGGGCTGGCACGTCCCCGGCACTCTCACCTGACTCCCGCTGTGGTCCGGACGTCAGCATCTCTGCCCCACAGCCTCTGGTTTCCGCTTCCTTAGCTGGAAGAAGTGTTGACCTGCAGGCCACCCCATCCTGAGAAGGGGCCTGGGGAGGTTTCTCAGACGCTTCATGGCGACGGAACAAAAATAAACCTTGCTGTGCTTGCGAATTCCAGAGAGGGAGAAGACTGGCCGCAGCACACGGGAGGGAACCAGGCTCCCCCTGCGGCAGAGGGCTGACCCTGCCCACCGGGGCACAAGAGCTGATGATGGATCGGAAACCAGATGCATCAAGCCCCGCTTCCTGTCAGCGCAGCCTCCCCGTGTAGGGAGGCGCAGGATGCCGGGCAGGTGCCGCCAATTATCTCTGACGCTCCCTGAAGAGGCTTTTACTTAGGCTGAGCAAGCGAGCGAGCAGCCTTCGGGGGGCATTCAGAGGCAGTGTGCGACTGCACCCCAGGAGTAACCAGAATCTGGCTCGGAGGCATCTGGGGGCTCAGCAAGCTCAGCTGACCAGACGGAGGCTCATATACCCACCAGTGAATGAGCGCCATTGGCATACAGAATACCCACCACTGAATGAGCGCCACTGGCATGCAGAATACCCACCACTTATTGAGCGCCATTGGCATGCCCATTGTGAAGGGCTCTGAAGGCCCGTGAAGGGGTTGGAATTGATTTGATCAGGGACAGGGAGCAGCTGAGTGTGTTTGAGAGAAGTCGCTCCTGGGGCCACATGCAAGGTAGGGGAGCTGGCCAGAGAGAAGGATGGGTAGTCACCAGGGAGATGGTGAAGGCTCGACTGGGGCATTAGAGAGCAGGCAGAGGAGGAGGAGATGGGCCCAGAGAACCCAAGACAGAACCTGTGGGCCTGGCTCTCTGCCGGGCTGTCTGTTGCAGGTGGGTGGGAGGGCGGGCCTCAGGACACGTCCCTGGTTGGGGTTGGTGCCAGGTGTCTTGGCCTCTTCCCAGCTCGACACCCCAAAGAGACCAGGAATGCAATCTTCCTCTTACTTCCTTTCCCCTCCCTTCACGCCCCACTCCCAGCCCCCTGCCCACCACGGACCAGGGCGGGGCCCGAGGCTGCCATAACTGAGTACGCCGAGATGTCTACGGGCTCTGAGACGCCCAGCGTGACCGCGGGCACGATGAGTTTAAGGAAACACACACACCCCAGCGCGACACGCAGCCGCGGCTCTGGAGACCTTCAGCGGCTCTGGAGCGGTGCTGTCACAGGAGAGAGGGCTCGGCCGGGCAGACCAGAAGGAAAAGATGCTGGAAACGAAGACACCCAACACTCAGGTCGTCAAATGTAAAGACGCCGGAGTGACTCCTGCGCAGGACAGCCCACGACTTGTCCCCGTAAAAGAGGGTCGACCCCAAACACCGAGACGGGGGCACTTGACAGTTGTGTGACCAGTGCGTGAAACCAGTTTTCCTGCATCGACGCAACAGGAAAACAGGCAGGGGCGATGGAGGGGTCCTCTTCTCACCAGCTTCGTGCAAATGCTGACCATCAAACGCTCCACTCCCAGGGGAGGTTTCTTTTGGAGGCTCCTGAGCGAATGCAACTAAGGGCCAACTCTTTCCCCCCTGGGGCTCAGAGCATTTAAGGACCTTTCCACAGCCAGTCTGCTCAGTGCCGGCAAAGTTTAGCTGCAAATCTGAGAAAGGGCCTCTTCACATCCATGGCTGTCACTGCCCTCTGCTGTCTGCAGTCAACTTCTTCCAAATGTCTTTACCCACCGAAGACCTTTTGGTCCAGAAGACACGAGTTCAGGCTTCCGTGTAAGTCCGCGTGCGAGAGGCGTTCTCATTCCATCCGACCTCAGCAAGCTGCCAAGAGCCTCTATCCCAAGCATCTGCACCAATAAATGGGTGCGTAGGGACACCCCTGGACAGAGTGTTCTGTTCTGTGATGCTCCCTGTCTTCCGAGGAGGGTCTTCATCATCCTTCCAGGCTCCACAGCAGCACAGCCCAGTGGGGAGGCTTCCTCGGAGGCCCCGGGGGCGGCCTTCATCCTCTGCCTCCTCTGTGCCCTCACAGCATCTCTTCTGCGCCTCCCTTCTGCCACTTTTCACGGCCTCCACGTGATGGCAGCCACCCTGGAGGTGGGGACCATATGGAGGGACCGGAATCTCCTGGACGCCTGGGGCAGGGTGTGTACCTTCACTGCGTCCAGTGAATACCAGCTGGGTTAAATTGAGTCCCCACGAAGCATGCAACTTCAAAGCTTCGAAGGCCAAAGCTTACATAAATGTTGGAAGTGAATGAAGAATGGTGAAAAGTGTAAAAGTACCAAAAACCCAGAAAAGGGGAGCTTCCACCTGCTCTTCTGAGCCAAATCTAGAGGACAGTCAGGTCTCCAGCCTGGGGCCATGCACTGTACTGCATTGGGACGGCCCGGACCCACCGTGGGAGCAGTTTCAGTGACAGTGCGACTGGGGTCTGAGAGCGGGCGCGGGCTGCTCCCACGACACCCTGTGAGCTGCTCTCGTCCGCAGACACCAGGCACCACAAGAGGCTGCGGAGGGACCTGGAGAGAGCAGGGGTTTGGGGGGGGGGCGGGGAGCGAGCAGGCAGGGAGGAAGGGAGGAGGAAGACGGACAGAGCATCAGAGGGTGGCTCTCGCTAAGAACCAGCCAGCACGTTGGTGTCAGAAGGATGAAATTTCCAGAATAGTGCTCGTGGCTCCGCAAGGGTGACGGGCCTTGCCCATTTCCACGGCGTCCAGCACAGGTGGTGGACGTGGCTGCAGAGTGGCCGAGACAGGACGTCCGAGCTGGGCCTGAACAGACGCTGAGACCCAGGCTGCCGTCTCCTGCCTCCTCGCCCTGGCTCCTGCAGCTGTGCTGGTCCACCTATGACCTCCATCCTGGGAGCTCCTGAAAGGGAGGCCCAGGCCCCACCTCCACGACCCATCTGTTGAGCAAAGCAGCAGCCGTAGGACCCTGAGACCGCCTGTCCGCCACGCACTCCTGTTTCTCCAAGGCCAGGGCTGCACGTGGGCCCGGCGCCCGGGGTGCCTCTGTGCTCCCTGAGGGAAGCCCTCTCCTGCCACGCTGGGGGAGCAGGAAGAGTGGAAGCCTCAGCTTGACCGGGCTGACCTAGCAGCGACTAGACAAACTCAGACGCAGAGGAAAGTAAAAGAACGCCATCTCTGCGCCCCCGGCGTCTGCGGCTTCTTCCATCCGCTCCTGCTCTTTCCACCACCCAGGAAGTCCTGACCAGAAGACGGAGGGGGAAGAAGAACCAGAGCATCCAGCAAGCCAAGGGGTAAGATGTAAAGAGAGAGGGGTGGTCAGACTATTTCGGGGGCACAACAGTGAGAGCGAGTTACCGATGTGGGTCCCCGGTGGAGGCCGAAGCCAGGCTGTCTGGGTGAAGACAAGACAAATGGTGAAGCGGGCAGGGCCAGCGGGGAGAGACACTTCGGTGGGTTTGCAAGACAGGGGTCTTCAAGGCCAGGAAGTCGTGTGCCAGCCTGAAGCCCCCGGGAAGGAGCCTGTGGCGAGGGACGGACAAGAAGGGTGGGCTGCATGCGGGGGACAGAGGATGTGCCGGGAGCTGGAGAGAAAGTGGGGGGCCGGTCCGGAGGGAGGAGGTTCGCCCTTGTAGGAGCCAAAGGAGGAGGACGGGAGGGATCGAGACGGACACTCCGCACAGGAGGAGGTTCATGCAGAGCGGCTGGGGCGAAGGTAGGATGATCTGCCCACAGTCCAGGAAGAAAGTGGGTCAGCACCTCAGAAGCCCGCAGAGGACCCGGGCAGCCACGGGAACCGTGTCAGTGATGATGGTGGCAGAGCCCGTGCACCGGCGGGAGGCTCCACGCCTGCTGTTCCACCAGAGGCTTCCCATGCACTGTCCACGCGCAGGGTCTCGGGGAGGAAGTTCTGCTCCCCTCACCATGTTACAGATGAGGCAACCGAGGCTTAGAAAGGGGGGTGACTCGCCCAGCTGGGAGCCGAGTTGAAACGCAGGTGACCGCCCTCCGAGGGATCCTGTGTGCACCCGTCTGTCCAGCTCTGTGCCTGCGGCCCAAGGGCTGGGCTGAGCTCGAGACAGACAGTAATGCTGCCTGGAAGGGGGCTGCTTCATGGGGCCCAGAGGGGACGCCCCAACCCAGGGCGTGGGTATGGTGACAGGGCCAGAGTACTGGGGCAGCCCAGGGCAATGGTGACTTCAGTCCCCAGGGGCCGTCCACAGGGGGAAAGGAGGTGGCGGGGGCAGCGGGGGGCGGGGAACAGACCCCCATCTGTGTTGAACTTGGGAAAATGGGGGATGGCGGTGTCACTGACTGGTGTGGGGAGACACGAGGAAGGTTCTCACGACGTCAGCTCATCTCACACCCCTGCAGGCCACAGCCCCCCAGCACTCCAGGTCCCATGGGCTCCCCTACAACTGGACATCATTTTGCCATCATTCGTGCTCATTCTTTGGCCTTGTGTTTCCTCGAGAATAAACCCAGAGAGGAGGCGTGACCTGCCTGTAGATAGGGGCTTGACCTCGTTGAATCCTCACACAGCCCCCCAAGGGAGGCATCATGACCCCATTCCACAGATGAGCAAGCGACAGCTAAGAGAAGAAGTGATGCACAGGCCGAGGTCACACAGCCGGGAAGCAAAGGGCCAAGACCAGCCCAGGTCTGTGTGCCAACACCTGTGGGATGCAGCTGGGTGAAGCCGGCAGAGATCCCGGGCCCCCCAGGCCCGGAGAGGGAGGAGACTGGGCACCGTGCGTCCCTGAGTGCACACCTCAGTCCACCTGCCCCACGTCCTTGGGCTGCCAAGAGCCTCAGCCTCGCTCCTCTGCCCACGGGTCCAAGAAACCAGGCACAAGGGGCTGGAACCCCAGGGAGCTGCGAGGGAGCACCCAGCCCCGCCTCGCTGGGCTCCGTGCTCGGAGAAGAGAAGAGGAACAGAAACGGGAGCACCTTGAACTGACCGCTGGAGGAAGGGGCACCACGGGGTCATCCCTCGGCTCCAGGGTCTAACACATCGGGAGGGAAATGACAAGGGGACACAGGAGGGGAGCTATGACAGGGACCATGGCCGTCCCTCTCCTTGCTCCTCATCCCTGCAGGGATTTCCCCTGCAGGTGGAGCCAGGAGCCTGTGGGGAAAGATGAGCCCGGAGCAAAGCTGCCAGCTCTGGACCCGAGAAGGGGCGGCAATGGGCACGAGCACGTACTTGACGTTGGTGTTGGTGCAGATGATGTACTCGATCTCGTCAGAGTAGGGGTTCTGGAAGGTGAAGCTGCTGGTGCGGATCAGCATCCACTCCCGGTTCTTGGTGCGGAATCGATACATGACCGACAGCACTTGGCCTTTGAGCTTCACCACCTGAGGAAACATTGGAGGAGGAGGTCAGCGGGAGGCAGGGCGGTGCCAGATTGAGGAAGGAAGGACGCCAGGCCACACGGTTGCTGCGAAGGCTCGACAATGACCTTTTATATCAGGACTTATTTGCTTTTACAAATCAGATCATGAAACCTCTACAAGCTGGAGTGTTTCCCTTTTGGCCTTTGCTGCTGGGGCACTCTGGGTTCGATGCCAGTAAACCCCAAAGTTATCATCTCAGTCAGGTAGGTAGTCCTATGTATTCAAGGATTGATTTCTTCATACCTCACATTAAAAAAATTCTTAGCCTGTGTTTAACATTATAAACGGGATCAAATATACTCTCTGGGAGGAGACGTAATAAAATGATAAATTCGTATGCATTATCTATTTGCATGTATGTATCGATAATTATTTTTCTGTTGCAGGATGGTTTCCCCAATACTTCCAAATGTATTCCTTCAGGCATGTCCTCATAAGAGTTTGGTGAAGGCGGCTTCACTATTTATAAATACTGAGTCTTGGACATTAAATAAGTTGCCCAAGGTCACACAACGTGGGTGCAAAAGCTGGGACAGGAACCAGGATCCTGTCTCTGAACCACGCGTTTGTCGCTCTGGATACACATCGCTCTTCTGCTCTTTGTGGACACACAGTCTGTGCATGTGCAGACACACATGTGTAAATGCACACGCAGACGCGCAGACAGCAGTATTTGGGGCAGACCTTGTGGCTGAAGCATAAATGGAAGGAGAAAAGATACAAATGGCGGGGGTGTCGGCCTGGGTGTGCTAACACCTCCAGGACAAAGCAAGGTGAACAGGAACTCTCTCCACAGGCCTGTGCAGCCTAGAGCCTGGGTGGCTCGGATGGGAGGGCCCTGGGCCCACGCAGCCAGGCCTCCTGACCGTGAGACCACAGTGTGACCAGAGACAAGAACGGGGACCTGGTCCGGGGGGTCAGGGAAGGCCGAGCTCCCCTTTTCCTAACCCTCTACACCTGGAGTTTATTCCCGGTAGGAGGTCAGGGGGCAGCATCTGGGGGGGGCCTCTGGGCCCCCCCGAGTGTCCCCGCCCTCAGCCCGGTGCTGGCACAGAGCACATGCTTGCAGCACTTTTCTCAAAAAGACAGGATGGGTCTTTGGCTCCAGTGCTGGGCTGACAGAGCTGGGGTGACTGTGCTTTTTCTGCACCAGCTCTGGGGAAGCCAGAGGAGGTGAACCCTAGGGGGACAGACAAGGCTCCCTATGGGGACCCCGGGTCATAAAGAACCCAGACTGAAGCTCAGGAGGGTGGGCGACCCTTCGACACCACACGCCAGGAGGAGGCACGGGGCAGGGCCGGGCCAGGCCAGGACACTCGGGGCAAGTCCCAGCCCAACAGCAGGCTGGCTCCTTCCTCACAGGGCCACAGGCCACAGCCCCGCGCCCTCAGGCCGGCATGCTGATGGGTCCTACGGGGGCTCCTCCAAGTCTGCACAAAGCACAGGGGAAGTTGGCAGCCACTCCAGGCGTTGAGACCAGGGGTCTGTGCTCAGAAGAGGCGCATGAAGGCCACCTCTTGTCCCTTCCCCCAGAATGCCTGCGACGGCGTGACAGCTTTGAGCTCCAGGCAACAGTCCCGGGGCTGAGTTACGGGCTCAGCACCTGTGTCTGTTGCACCTCACGTGGTCTCTCAACACGGTTGTGGATCTGGAAACTGAGCCCCCAAGGAGTTGGAAATCCCACCCAAGGCCTCACGACTAAGGAGCAGCCGAGGCAGCGGTGGGGGGGCCCAGACCTACCCGACCCCAACGCCCGCTGTCTTGTCATGAATCCCTACAGCCGAGGCAGCATCCTTGTCCCCAAAGAGCTTCTCACCCAGCATGGCGGGACAGACGTATTGAGAACTGTGACGCAGAGAGCGCGCTGAGGACCAAGACAAAAACAGGAGTCGAGTGGCACGGGTGACCAGGGAGTCGAGGGGACGGCCTCTTCGCGGGGCCCAGGAAGGGTTGCTGGAGGGGGACGGGGTTTGGAAATACGTGGGAGGGGGGACAGAATGTTGGCAAGCGATGCCTGTGGGCAGGAAGCTCCTGGCAGGAGGCACAGAAGGAGCAAATGTTTGCAGGCTGGGGCCCTGAGGCACAGGTGGAGGGGCCCCCCTGCAGGCGAGGCGGCACAGGTGTGGGGGTCCAGGGCGATCCGCCCGACTGAGCTCAGTTCGGGAGTGGGGCTAATACACAGACCACCAAGGCCGGGCGTAACCCAGCCGAGCACAGCTCTTCAGGAAAACGGCTCTGATCACCGTCCTCACGGAAGAAGCAGAGATGGGAGGATGTGACGGGGACCTGCTTGAGTCTCACCGCGTTCCGCCCTTCCATTCGGCTTCTAGGTAAACTGCGACCCAGTGAGGGGAGCCAAGAGCACAGCAAGAGCAGGTTCAGGTGTCCCAGACCTTTGCTGGCACGCTGTCCCCACACCAAACTCGAATTCCCCACACACCTGACACACTCGGAGCGTCTCACATCTGGGCCACTCAGAGGCTCCTGTTTAAACCCCGAGTTCCAGGCTGACTCTGAGTCACACGGCCCCTTCCACACTTTTGCAACACTAACCCATTTCCCTTTATCAACACTCAGCCCCCACCCTGGCTACCAGGGGCAGGAGACGGAAGAACACAACTCGGGGCCAGGGCCTGTGCCCTCCAGGACGTCCCCACAGCTTCCTGGCTGCTGCCCACTGACCCCGTGACCGGGCCGGGCTCTCAGCCTTGCTGTTTGGCTTTGCCTCCCGCCTGAGGAATGAGGTGGCTGCTCACAGAGCGGGAGTTCCTCAAGCTGGATGCCAGGGCAGGATCAGATGTTAAATTCTTTCTTTTTCTTTTCAAAACCAATGGGGCTCTGACAGTGTCAGCAGTTTATAATCACAGAAGGGCCGTCAGATGGAGAGGTCGGTGTGCGGGCTGTGGAGACGGGGATGGGTGCTTTGAAAGGAGGCCGGCTCCAGCCCTAGCTCTATTATGGCCTTGCTGTGTGACTCAGGGCAGGTGATGGAACCTCTCTGAGTCCTGGTGTCCACGGCGAAAAAGTGGGGAGGACAACATGATGTGTAGGGTTGAGGATTACATAAGACAACGTGTGACAAAGGGTCTGGCTGGTTACTAACGATGAGGGGAGGCCCATCACTGCTCGAGCCTCGTTCCCCTATTCCCAGAAAGATGACGGCAACCTGGTCCAAAGGGCCATGCTAGATGATGCAAAGTTTATGGTAATTCCCACATGTTCAACAAAGATGTGGCATAAAAGACATATTCTTGCAATGTTTATTCTAATTCTGCATTTTTCCAAAATGAAGGTTACTTGCTTTGGGTGATGACCCACTCGGACTACGCTATTCAGAGCTGACCGTGTGCAAACTCCACACTCGGTGGTGGAGATGATGGTGAAAAGCACAGATGCGGGGCCTGCCCGCAGGGAGCTCATGTGTTAGTAGAGGAGACACACACACATGCATACACGGAAATCAATGGACAGATAAATGACACAGTTAAAAGTTGGAACAGTCACCGTGGAGAAAAACAAGGGCTGGGAAGGAGGTTGGGGGTCCTTCTTGGCTAGAGAAGTCATTGACGGTACCTCTGAGATGACACGAGTTGAAACCGAAAAGACAAGAAGGCATCAGTCATTTGAAGAGAGATGGGAAGAGCAGCCCAGTCAGAGGGAGCACGTGCAAAGGCCCGAGGTAGGGAGAAGCACGATGTGTTCAAGGAACCAAGAGAAGCCCAGTGACCCAAGGGCAGTGACTAAGGAGGACGAGACATGCATGCTGAGCACGTAGCCGTGGCAAGGGTTGGGATTCGATCCTAGGCGCGCTAGAAAACCCCTGGCACATTTAAGTAAAGATGTGGCAAAACCTCATTTACATTTTCAGAATGGCTTGGACTGAACAAGAATAAAAGCAGGAGACAAGCAAGGGAGCTGCTGCAAAGTCAAGATGAGAGATGGCAGGGGGCTGTCAAGGTCAGCGGGGAGGAGGAGAGGGGAAGGGGCTTGGACCACAGACGTCTTTGGAGCTGTAAAGAAGGACCTGATGCTGGGTGTGGGGAGTGAGACCCAGGAAGAGCGAGGAATGTTCCCAGTTTCTGGCCCATGCAGCCAGGTGGATGGTGGGGCAGGGAGCCTGGGGGCCGGGAGAGGAGAGTGGAGCATTCTGCGTTGGAAGGTTACAGGGTGTGCAAGGGCAGGTGTGCAGCTCGACGGACACTCTGGGCTGGAGTCACCCAGCAGGTAAAATCTCTGAGGGAGGCACTACAGAGAGAAAAGGGGAGAAGGCGGCGAGGACAGAGCCCAGGGCCTCATGGCTGGGAGAAGCGGGCAGAAGAGGAGGGACGAGAAGGAGTCTGAGAAGTGGAAGTGGAATCCACGAGCGGGTGATGTCTTGAGAGGAAGGGGCAGAGCGTGCCCACGTACGTGGCGTACAATCGGAGGACCAGGTCCAGCCCCGCAGACACGGCCAGGCCTCCAGAGGAGGGCTCGGCTGTCAGAGGGTTCCTTCTGAAATACTCGTACAGCAGAACGCCGAGGACTCACTCCCTCGGATGAAGGACCCACCATTACTCCCCCTTCAAGACGACTTCAAAGGCCTCCGTTCTCCTAACACGGCCTGTTCTCTCTTTCTCCAGGGGCTGAGGTGAGACGCCAGACCCTCTGAGGGATGTCGTCTCTCTCATCGCAGTCGACCTGTGCTCAGGAGGCGACGGGGCCTCAGCCAGGGTCCTGGTCCTCTCACTCATCAACCCTGTGGCCTTAAGGCGCCCTCCCCTCCCTGACCATCACTTGTCTGACTGTTACGTGACAATAACAATGCCCACCTCCTACGACTGTGGTGAAGGGTCAAGAAAGTGGTGTGTCCAGCGGGGTTTCCACGGTGCTGACACGCAGCAGGTGCAGGATGCACAGCAGCCAACAGTAACGATGCTCGTGACAATTATGCGGGCGGCCTCCCTCTCAGGTTCCCTCAGCCATCCTAAATTCTTCTCTCTCCTTCACTGTCTCTACGCAAAGCATCTCTAACCGACATGTCTCCTCGAGTTGCCTCTTCTTTTAATTCCTACTGCTCCTGCCCAATTTCCCCTCTCACCTCTTCTTACCTGGACAATTGAAAGAGCTTCCCAATCTATCTTTTGTTCCAGCTATTTCCCACATACCTGGGCTTACCAGAACTGTTTTTCAAAAACATCGTCTGCTTAAAATCCTCAAAGGAATTCTCACTTAAAGGGCCCAGGAGAGCACTGAGGTTCCTCAGCAGGGCCTTGAGGCACCCCCCATAACCTCGCCTCAGCAGCCTCATTTCTCACCACCGCCCGCCTCCTCCTGACAAGTCAGCCAGTGCCGCTCCAGCCATAGGGAACGACTTATAATTCTCCGAAAGGGCCATGTTCTTTTGCATCTCAGATGCTGGCCCCTCAGTCTAGAATTTCTGTCACTTCTTCTATGCTCATCTTTTAAGACTTGTCCTAACATTTCCCGCCCCTGGGAGACTGTTGCTGCCTCTTGCCCACATTGTTAACGTCTCCATCCTCTGTTCCTCTCCCACGACAGAGTCGTTACTTCCTGATGGGTGCATCCTCCGCACTAGACCATGAGCTCCTTCATGGCACGGGCCCTGACGGATGCCTTAGGTAGGACCCTGCGGCCTGCCTGGCACACCGCAGGACTAGCATCCTGCCAGCCAAATCCACGTGTCCCCAGGCTCTGCGCCAGCTGTACATGGGCGTCGTGGTACCTGCTGAAAGCTCTCGCGTAGATGGCTCTGATCCTCCGAGTGGCAGAACTCCAAAATGTCTTTTCCTAGAAGATCCTAAATAAAGAGACAAGCTTTAGTAATCCCAAACCCACTTTTCACTATTTATATATCACTGTTAGACAAGAGTGTTTATTTACATCCCTTTCAGCCCATCTCCTTTAGCTCACCCCATCATAAGGGGGAAACAAAGTGGATGCAAATCCCTTGGAGCGATCACGGAGCTGGCTCTTGGTACCCTCCCCTAAGGTCCTTTGGCATGCCCAGTACCAGCTTCTAATCTTGCCAATGCACTAGATCAGCAGCTTCAGAATGCAATTTTATTTTTGTCTGCCTTGGAGATGCAAACTGTAATAACTACATTTCAATAAACATAAAAAGAAAGCGAATGAATGATAGCAGGAGGATAGCTGTGTTGCCTATGAAAACTGGAATTGCTTAAATGTGGAAACTATAGCTCTCTTGCATCTGGAGAAATGCTGCTATCAAAATCATTGTACTTTTTAAAAGCCTGTTTACTATCTACCTGCACTCATGTACGTTTTATTCAAAGAGCTTAGCATCAACTCAAGAAAAAAGGGTGTTTTGCAACGAAACCAACCAGAATATGATAAACCATGAAAAGGCAACTCCAAATGGGTTATAGGAAGTGGTCCAGTTGGAAGTGTCTTAAATGGCAAAGGATTTTAACTATCTCCTTGATCAGAACCCAAATCAGCAAACGGCCTCAGTGGGAGCTGACACCGACAGTGGAAAGGAAGTCTTATCAGCGTGCCAAGAAGCATCTAGATGCTCACGGAAGGTGCCAGTGGATAAATGGATCTGGCAGGAAATATATTGCCATCAGAGGTTATGGTGAATTTGGAAACAGATTAATCTTCCCTTCATTCTATCCAAGAAGCTTGAGTTTGCATGAATCTGGAGAAGCAGAATTATCTGAATGGTTCCAACATTTCAATTTGGACTGTTTGTAGTTCTAAAATATACGTGTAATGAAATACCCATATCAACATATCCCAAACCTTGTTCCTCAGAACAAAGATCTTTTTCTTTCTTTCTTTTTTGTTTAAATGTTTTTGATTTGGAAAGAAATTTAAATCTACAGCGAACTCGAAAGGATAGTATAAAAAACACCTGTATGCTCTTCACCTAGATTGAACATTTGTCAATATTTTGACACATTTTCACTTTTTCTCTTTCTTTCATATATAGGTAAGTATAAATAAAACATATAAAAAATATATCAATGAAATATCTTTCATACCTACACACACACACTTAAAAATTTCTTGCTGAATCATTAAAAAGTAACAGACATCATGACACTTCTCCCCAAGCATGTATCTCACAAAAATGACATTATCTTAACAAACCCATAATATACCACATTACACCTAAAAAAATCAACAATTATTCAATGAAGTCACCCAGTACTCCGTCCATATTAACATTTCCTCAGTTGTCTCCCAAGCACCCTTCATGGCCCGTGTCCTCAGCCTGACAGTCCAGTTAAGGCTCTCAGTTGCATACCGTTATTTTATCTCTTATGTTTATCTTCATCTGGAATAATCTCTCCTGCCTTTTTGAGTTTCTCATGACACTGACTTTTTTTAAAAGGTCTGGAACAAAGACCTGAAAATGTGCCACCTGTCAAAAAGGGTTCCAAACACATTTGAAAAACAAGGGGTTGGGCAAAATCAAGTGGACATCTTTACTTCAAGACTTCTCAGAGTCTTTCACACTAAGATGCTTTCTAAGTTTCCAAGGAGGAGATTTCCTGTTTGGGGTTAATCAAAATTAATTGATCAAAGAGACCCTTCTTCATAGAGCATCTTAACTCCAGTTTGTGAAAAATCAGCTAGATAAACAGAACGGCTAGGGCAAAAAATGAAGAGTTCGTTTTCTGTGGTGTAGTCACATACGACGTCCTTTTCCACTCTGGAATGCCGTTACTCCCATTACTCCATCCGGGCAGAGATGTTGATTTTTACTCTGTGTTTCCCTACATCGTCCTTGTGTTGTCTCTCCAACAAATGAGATAAGTGCGCTTTGAATATTGTTAAATCTACAGCTAATGCATGAGCTCAGAATTTCTACCTGGGGTTGGTAGCCAATCACACTGATGCATCTTGGGTCCACAAATGTGATGATCCCATCAGAGTTATGCCGGGATAAGAATTCCGTGGGCACTGACATCCCGCTCATGTCCATGCACACGGGAGAGCTGGTCACCTGGAGTGGGGAATCCACATTGAGGTGGTTTTGACAGAGGCAGAGATGGAAATGGTAACAGAGACACAGCATGGAAACAATCCATGTGGGTTTAATTTCACAGATCCTTCCGTGTCATTCGTACAAGGAGTCTAAAATGTTCAAACAGCCCTGATCACACCTTTGACTAACTGTAACAGTGGGCCACTTCCCTTACATTTCTGAGCTTCAGTTTCCTTATCAGTCAGTGGGAATAGAGAAACCTGGGATCTCGTAGGGTGGTTGTGAGGTTCAAAAGAGACACTGCATGTTAACCCCTGGCATAGCGCCTGGCTCATAGTTGGTGCTCAGAAATGTTAATACCCTTCCCTTCTCCTACCTCCCCTTTACTAAGGACAGCAAACGAGTCTAAGGAACTGGCGAAAATATTTGGAAAGTATTTGTGGACCAAATTTACCCAGTTATGCTTTCTTCACCCATCTGCAAGGAAAAACCAACGCTTATCATATGTGAATGAAACTGCTTCTTCATTTGTCTGAAAATGGTTAGACCTAGGGAACCAGGGACACGAAAGGTTAGTGTCCCCTGAACTGTATCCATGGAACCCCCCCTCCCATCAGTATGGGGAAGGCTCTTAGTGCCACAAGGAGAATGAAGAGTCCAGTTGATTGAGTGGCTACAGTGTGTGCACCAGACATCGAGCCAGTGGCCTTCATACACATTATTCAGCATATTTAACTTTCACAAGACTAAAAAGACACACTCTCCACCCTTGAGAAGCTTGTACTCAACTGCCTTCACGAAAACAGACAGCGAAGAGAGATAACCGATGTCTGAACTCAACGCTACGAGTCAGGAGGCAATGATTAACTTTGACTAAGCAGATAAAGGAGTCGTTTTAGCTGGATCTTGAAGGATGAGCAAATGGGAAGTAAACAGGAGGAGAAGGGAGTTTCGAAAGGAGAAGAGGAGAACAAGGAAATACCAGGCAGAGGGAACAGCCTGTGGGCACCCACAGAGGTGGGGAGGGCAGGCTGGGTTTGTGGAAAAGGGAATGGTGTGGTCTGGGAACAGGGCAAGGTGTGGGGAAGAGAAGGAGCTGAGGGTGTAAGATGAGTCAGTGCTTTATCCTGTACACCATGGGGAAACATTCAAGGTGATTAAGCGGGTATGATGTGAGCAGTAACAGGCACGAGAGTGTGGGGACGGACTGATTCAGGCCCTCAGTGAAGCAAGAATGCTGCTGCTCACGGCTCACAGTGCCCCTTCCTTCTCCCGCAGAGTGTCGGGAACCCCGACAAATGCTCAGGACACAGGCGATCAAGACAGGCATCCAAACCCACAGGCTCCTGCTCTTTGCAATAATGAGCCCCGGTTTGAGATTGAAGCGGCTATGAGCGGTTTCTTACCTGGAGCCTCCCGATTGCCACCAGGCAGTATTTACTGCCCTGTCCCACATCAGCGTCTTCTTCAGGGATGGTCATTCCTGAAATGAGAAATGCCAGCATCTTCAACAACACGCCCAAGGGGAATGGCAAAGGGGCAAAAGTGTTTGTGATTTTATTTACGCAATTGAAAATACAGATCCACGGTTGACCACTGGGGTTCGGGAAGCCAGCTAAGGAACTAACCAGTCCCTCAGTCCTCTCCGACTCCTCTCTGTCTGAGGCCTTTTGAAAATCTTGTGCTACATTATCATCTGCATCTGTGGATGGTGCAGAGGAATTTAAGGAAGATAAAATGCAAACTATTCATTTAACATTTGCAAAATTTGGCCCAAACATTTAGTTATAAAAGAAATTTCAGTAAGAAGTGTATATGGGCATTTCAGATTATACAAATATTTTACTTATCTGTTGACAAAGAATCCAACAAAAAGGCAGAATCAAAACCGAAAAACAAAAACCCACCAAAGCTGGAATTACTTACTTGCCAGGCAAGGGAATGCAACCAGTGTTGCCTAAAGTCAGGGTTTGTAAAGGCTAGAAAGGAGAAATTGGTGATAGGTATGCTGATTAAGCACTGAAAACCATTGCTCTGGATAGGGAGGAATTGATTAAAATAATCCTCATTGTTCTTTGGTCAAAAAAGAGTCTTCTGTTGGGTCCAGTTAAGGGTCTGGCCCCTGGAGTGGCTCACACCGCAAGGTCCTTGAGCAGCTGTAGTTGGCTACAACTGTTGCCATGGAATGAGCATTCCGCTTTGACATCTGCTACACAAGTGCTGTTAAACAGAAAACTCCCGTTCAAGGCGTTTACGTCAGAACAAAGGTTCACGGTGACAATCGCACAGCACAGGGACGGCCCAGCACTGGACCGTGCAGGGAGTGTTACACATGGATGGGGTTCTAAGAGCCAGAGAAATGTCACTCCCTCCTCATCCCCAAGACCCCATTCACAGTCCCCTCTTCTTTCCATCCCTTTCTCGTCCACCCCCTGCAGGTAACCAGTCTCCTAAGGTTCTGCTTCATCCTTGCTGTATTTCTCTCGCACGAATGGGCACATAGATGTGTGTTTTCTCATCTCTTCTTATTCCTTTCGTGAAGAGCAGTGTGCCACAGACACTCTTTTGGGCTTCACTTATTTAACAGTATGTCCTGGAATTCACTCCATAATTATTCATAGAGCTTTCCTCATTCCTTTTTAGAACTGCACAGTGCTGCATTATGAAGATTACCAAGGTTTGTTCAACCCTTTCCTATGCACGAACTTTTAGGGGTTTCCAATATTTTGCAACTATAAACAAGGCTGCAAAGAATAATCTCGTGCATGTGTATTTCTTATGATGGGTGGAATATCTTCAGATACATCCAGAAGATACACGTTTTCTGGAAGTGGGATTGCTGGGTTGCAAAGTGAGTGTATATGTAGTTTTCTTAGGTATTGCCAAATTTCCCTCCAGAAGGGGTGTGCCAATTTTCATTCCCACCAACAATGTATGAGAGGCCTGTTTCTCCACGGTCTTGGCTGAGAGAATATGCTGTCACATTGTTTTTGTCAGTGTGACAGGTGAGAAATGGTATTTCAGTGCTGTCTTAACTTGCATCTCTCTAACTATGAGTGAGTTGGAGCATTATTTCATTTGTTTGAGGATCATTTTTGTATCTTGTCTTTTAGTGAATTGTCTGTTCATGTCCCTTTCCCATTTTTCTATTGGGATTTTGGTCCTTTCCCCCTCAATTTGCGAGAGATCTTTGTATATTAGGGATGTTAAGCCATTGTGGTATACGTTGTGAATATGTTCCCCCAGTTGGTCCCTTATCTTTTGACTTCGCTTATGATGATTGAAGAAATTTGTAATTTTTATGTAGTCAGATTTACCAGTCTTTTATTATCTCTGGCATTTAAGTCACAGTTAGAAAGCCATTTCCTACACCAAGGTTAAAGAGAAATTCACCCATGTTTTCTTCTGGTACTTTCAGGGTTTGATTTTTCATTTAGATCTCACATCCATTTGGAGTTATTCTTGTGTAGGTGTGAGACGTGGACCTAATTTCCTCTTTTTCTAAATGGCTATCCAGCTGCCACAACAACATTCATTAAAAAGGGAGTGATTTGAGATGCCACCTTTATCATATAGTAAATAACCATATGTATTTAGGTCTAATTCTGGACTTTCTCTTCTATTCCACTGGCCAATTGTTTATTAAGCACCAGTACCACGCAATGTTAATTATAGAAGCTCTATTGTATGCTTTAGTATCTGGTAGGGCCATTCCTCCCTTACAGTTTTTCAATGTTTTCTTGGCTATTCTTGGATGTTTATTTTTTTACATGAACTTCAGTATCAACTTATTTAACTCCATAAAATAGCTTGCTTGTATTTTTATTAGGATTGCATTAAATTTATAAATTAACTTCAGGAGAACTGACATCTTTGTAATGTTGAGTCATCCTACCCAAGAACAGAGGGTATTTTTCCACTTGTTTAAGCCTGCTCTTGTCTCTTTCAGGAGCACTTAAAATTTTTCCTTATATATACTTGTACTTTGTATACTTATTAAAATCATTCCTAGCTATTTAATCTTCTTTGTTGCTATTGTAAATAGGGTTTTCTCTACCATACACCTTCTGTTTACTGTTTATGTGTATGAAGCCCATTCAGTTTTGTATACTGACATTGTGTTGTGCTACTTCACTCGATTACTTATTGTTTCTGTTGGTTTTATTGTGGACTCACTGGGCTTGCAGAGGTGTATTATACAATTTAAAACAGGGATGGTTTTCCTCTTCTTTACACATTCTTTTGCCTCTGATTTCTCTTATTTAATTGCATAGGCTAGTATTTCTATTACAATATCGAACAGTTGTAGAGATCGTGGGCATTCTTGTTTCTGATCTTAGTGGAGATGTCTCAAGGGTTTCTCCATTAAATAAGATACTTTTTTAAAAAAGATATTATCCCTGAATTACTGTTTGACATTTTTGCAAGTCTCTTTAATGCCTTGCTTAATAGCAGACAGCTGGATTATAATATCTGCTGTGCATGCAATCTATTACAGTATGTTCTTTTACTTCATATATGAAGAAAACATGCCTTCCATAGATGTGTAGTTGGAGGAAGGAGATTTTTTTCAGATAATTGTGGATATTCTTCTTTGATATTTTCCTAAATCTTGACAAGTGGTACTTTCTTAAAGGTTAATTGCAATGTGAGTTCCAAAACTTTATCAATGAATTTTTCACATTCTATTACATTAAAACAGATTACAGACACTTTGAATGGATCTGTTACCCATACATGATTTTCAACATTATGTATTGGTCATTTGGAAAATATTGGTTCACAAAATTATACAGATCTTCTCAATGTTGACACATTACATTATACATTATTATAAAAAAATCACACTTAATATTATCATCAGAAATATTTCTAGGTATTGGTCAAGATCACAGTGGTGGATATAAGTTTTCCAAAACTCAAATTTTCACTGGAAAGCTTGAATTTTATCACTGAAAACAAATACTGTCAATTCTTTTCCTTGAAGTGACAGGTTCATTTTAACTTTTTGAGGAAATATCTGCCACTTACATAAGTTTGATAACCATAGTTTGTTAGTCACTCTTTCAAGTAAAAAATAATGTTTCACGAAAAAAATCAGCTAGTTCAGCTCACAACGAAAACAAGCGCACGAAGGCCTTCCTTGACACAACCACCATGTTCGGTACACAGCAAAAGTTGATTTATGCATACCTCCCATTTCAGAGTTTAATAAAATTAGTATTTTTTACTGCTTCATCAAGGACATACTTGAGTGAAACTAGCATTTTTAAATTTTGAAATTATTTTTCTTGCAAGCGTGTGCTGATAAAGAATACAATGACTACTAGGACATTTTGGTGCCACGGCCTTGATTCATGTCAAGGCTCCAGACGTTTTTACCCATCAATGCTTTTGCACCATCCATGCAAATGTGGACCCAGTGAAAAGGACAAATAACAACCTGGTGCTGTAATGAAAATACTGTTAGCTTTAGGTGCCCCTGAAACCGCCTCAGGGACTCCCATGGTCCAAGGGCCAACCTTGACAACTGCTGTGTCACACACTGCTGTTCCCCAGAGTCTGGACCTCCCAATCTCATCTCTTTTCCGATCCTTTCCCTGCTGCCTACATTTCTAACCACATATTAATGAGACCCGAGACTATGTCTCCAGTCTGGATTTTCCTCTGGAGTCCAGATCCTGACCCCACTTGCCTTCCAAAAATAATTGCCTCCATCTCACAGGCCCTTCAAACTCAACAATTGCCCAAATTTTCCTACCAAAACGTACTCCTCCTTTTTCTTCTCTCCTGTGGAAAAGACAGCTAGTGACCCACCCCACATACATTCCATGCTGAAAGAACCCTGATTTATCCAGAGTGGCAATGTGTCCACCCCCTTAGAATCAGAGGTGGTCAGGTGACACAGCTCTGGCCTATAAGACGTAAGTGGAAGTCACCGAGTGGGGCTTTCAGGAAAACTCCTCCTTTTTGCAAAACACAAAGATGATGGTGTGGCTCTAGCAGCCGTCTTGAAGGCAGGAAAGCCAAGGTCACACAATAAGGACTGTGGAGTAGAAACTTAGAGAAGAGAGAATGAGGACCTAACTACATCATACAGCCACTCCTAACCCTAGACTGCCTACCTTTGGATTTTCCATCTGAGAGGAAAATACATAAAATAAATTTGTTTAAGGCACTGTTATTCGGGTTTTCTATTCTATGCAACCAAACTCAATCACTTACTTGTACACATTTTAACCTCTATTAGAAGCATCAGTACCAGCGCTGAACATCTGTCATTTATTTGGGCTGAGCAGCAGCCAAACCCATGTCCTATTTGGAGGGAATCCCACTTTGTCAGTGATCCTGGTGGAAGCCAGTATCCTAGCTCCCACTATGTGCGTCAAAGAAGCCAGATTTTCTCTCTCTCCTCCTTCCAGAGGGAAGGGATGGTTAGAATTCACCAGCAAAGCAGAGCCCAGTGTCCTGGTCAGGCTGTTG